ATCACAGAGGCTTGGGGGGAGGATGGGCTATCTCCAGGGGTCCACAGGCTGGACCATTGCCTCCCATGTGTATATCTACTGCCCATATTAACCCTGGAACTTGGGAGAGATCCACTTAATCTAGCCCCAAATACTTTTCTTTTTAAAAAGATATTTTTAATTGGAAAAGCCTTCTTAACAGAAGACCTATTGCCCTAATACTGGAAACTTTTTTTGTTTGCACAGTTTACCAGAATTAATAGTTTGATAAGTTCAATAAAGTAAAGTAAGTAAAGTATTCACATTCTGTTTCTTTCAGGTTAGGGCACCTCACTAAAGTTTCTGTGCCTAAGGGCCCCTCAAATCTAAGAACAGTGGATTTGATTCATACAGGCAGCTAAAGCTTTCTGTGTCCAGTATTTTCAAGGCAGCTCACAAATAATTCAATAAAATAAAAATGTACTCCATTTTATTTATCTAAAGCATTCATGCTCCACCTTTTCCTTTAACAAGTGTTCAGAAAAGCTGATAACATCTTTTACAATAACAGTGTAACATCAAAATAAGAGGCAGGCCACAATAGTTAAAACAGGCATAGAATAAAGGGAAGGATGAATACATCATGTCCTGGCAAATCAAACCTCCGCCAAAAGGCCAGCTGCTGGAAAGCCCTTGGCAATGAGTGGAGTGGTAAGAAGGACCTCCATAGTGGAAGATGACCTGCTGGAGGGTCTTCAAGATATTCCCTGGTCATCTGCAGCTAGAGGTTTTTAATCCCAGTCCAGATGGGAATATGGGGGCCATTGCCTCCTATGTGTATATCTACTGCCCATATTAACCAGATATAAAAGATCGTCATGGTGTCAACATGCAGCCATGGGGCTTTGTTGCAGTTAGGCATCCTCTTATTGCTCAATTACAGAAGCAAATTCCTCAAACAGGGAAGGGAATAGAGACATTACATTCTTTGGGTGGCTGCAGTGGCTTCCTCACCATCTCTGTGAACCCAGATTTGTAACTTGTGTTACAGACAGACATGACAGCAGTCTGAGCCCTGGATGGATAAGGTGCTTCCCATGCCAAGGAAGATTGTGCCCTTTGTGCACCAGGTAGGCTGTACATTTTTTTCTTTCTCAAAATAGCATATTTATATTATTCTGCACCCCGAGTTCTCCGAGTGGTGAACATTTAAACAAGTGCGGACCCTACTTCAGTTTTGATTTTCCTTTGAAAAGAGGCCACTTGTAATGCTTGTGTTTTATTCACAAATATACAAGGTTGGCACAGGTGAGGGCACAGCATTAGAAATACCAACAAATGTCCGAAAATTCAGTGTTCTCAAATCAGATTTCTGGGAGAATGGGCAGAACATTTAGAGCTCTTCAAAAGAATCTCAGCTCTTACCTTTTTCTCAGTACGTTGGGTCATCCCCCTTTGTCTCCCACTGGGGCTGTGTAATTAGTTCTAAGCATTTGTTTATCAGATTCAGTACAAGTTTTCCTCCACTTCAATTCTAATGAGCATCCTGCTTACTCCATTTTCTTCAACCCATATGTAGGAAGAGGTGCACAGACCTGCAAAGAGAGGAGAGGAGGGCACTTAGATGTGAGCATTTGAGCCACTCAGAACGTGCCACAGAGTCATTAGATCAATGACTGGAGCACCAGCCATATCAGCATAAAAACCCTCTAGAACCTATGAGAACCAGTCAGCTACCGAGGATGGATCATAAGCTTGCACACTTCCCTCCCCCTTCCTAATTGGCTAATAAAGGTATTAGCCCACCTTGGGTTAATTAACCTTGGGTCCATTATTGGAGAAAGGTGGCATACAAGGGAAAATAAACAAATAACCCATCCACCCTTGTATGGATTTTGAAATGCCATAGGTTCCCAGCCCCTGCAGGTGAGAAAAGCTACTGAAAATCTAAATTGCATCGGGAAATGGTTCAACAGTAACAGCAGAACAGATTTTAAATTCTCCACCTATAAATGCCCTGAGAAAACCATCTGCAAAGTATCCTGTTTATATGCATTGGGTTGCTTACATGTTGGGATAGTCGTGTGTTTGTTATAATTGTCACAAATCCCTGAATTCTCCCAGAACCGGTGACTGTTCATTAAGGTTCCTTTGATAACCAATTTGGGAGTCCTCAACACCAAATGTCCTTTAAATTAGGCATAAAAATTAATAACCCATGCATTGACAGAATCCCTGATCTATCACGAGAGTCTAGTGTCAGCCTTCTCCAACATTTGAATTTATGTTGCTGTTGCACCAAATACCTGGTAGAGCTCAGCTGGGAGAGGCTGGCTCTTTTCTGTTCTTTCACCCAGATCATAGTTGTGCATTGCAAAGTGGCCTCCTCCTCCACCGTTCAATAATAGATGAGTAACCCGGAGGGCAAAATGGTAAGGCACCCATGATGGATGTTTTAGGATGTGAGGATTGATGGTGAATATGTTGAGATCTTACCCTGACCACTGTTGGCAGTATTCACAATCACTCTTGCCCCACCTGGAACGCAGCCCTATTTTTCACTGTCAGAAAAAAGCTTTCAGAGGTTAAAAAATGTTTCCTTCTTAATTAGTCTCTGTGGCAATTTGTCACCTTAGTTCACCTAACAAAAGAATGTACCCAGCCTAATGATGTATTTCAGAAAAACTTGTCTGGCAGGTTTCAGACCACCCCTTCTCTTAGAATCAAGAACTATAATTTGGAAAAGTTCCCAGGAGATCATCCATCTCAACCTCCAATCTCATAACAATGTATTCATTCTTCTTCTTAACACCAGCTAAAATGGTGGTGCAAGCCAAAGGCAGAACTAAGCAGAAATGTGGAACTTTTCTTCTGTTGCCATGATCTCTGGTAAAGCTGGCTTTGCTTTTGTAAAGCACCAGGTGTTGGTCTTGGGTATCAGGACAGGAAAAGAGGCAGTCTGTGAAGGCCTCGGTTAGCACAGTGTACACAATAGTGGACTTGATAAATTTGACTTGATAAGATTTGCTAGATGGGTGATGTGTTTGATTGAAGACCTGGCTTGGAATGAATCATTCAAAAGAACAGAAATCCAGTTCACATACTTGCTCCCCCTAAAGTCTATTTACCTACCAAACACAATCTTTTCATCCATTCATTTCTTGCAGGCAATAGCCATTGCTCAACTTTGAATGCAAATATCCGTTTATCCTAAATAGAAAAAATTGGTCTGCTTCTCATTAGCTGAGCAATAGTTCTCGCTGTTAAAGCCAGAAAATTCCTGTTATTTCCACCCAGCTTATTATTTGATTCGATTAGTTTTAAGACTCTTGAAAGGTTTTACAGGCTTTATCTAATATGCTACTATGTTATTGTGTCTATATTTCCTAAATCTTGTTGCTGTCTGTTGAGTTCTGTAGGTAGCCAGAGCTTCTGTGGCCTGATAAGGCCCACTCCTGAGGTCTACTGTATACCTGTCTTCAAAATATGTGCCTGTGGGGCTCCAGGCATAGTTCAATGGCTAAATCTGGGAGTCACCATTTAAATATGCCACCATGTTATCAGTGCATTGTAGGAAATTAAAATGTCTCCTACTGATGTTGATTGACATGCTGTAGCTCTGCCTGCCAGTGTCATCAGAGAGACTCTTGGTGGGAGGACTGTGGGTGGGCAAGTTGACATAGGTCCTTTTGAACATGAGAAGTAGGATAAAAATACCTGGAGGTCCAGTTAGACCAAGTACATACTACTATGTACTGATATGGGTAAGGTGGCCATCATACACACAGGAACATAGGAAGTGAGCTTATAATCAGTTGGACTCCACTCTGTCTAGCCCAATATTGCTGACTCTAACTGGCAGCAACTCTTCAGAGTTTCAGGGAAGATTCTTTCCTTAACCTAGCTGGAGATACAAGGGACTGAACTTGGTATCTTTTGCATGTAAGATACTGCATGTGGTCTGTCAGTGAACTGTGGTTTTTCTTTTGGATTCAAAGTAGATACGTGTGTAATAGTTATCAATCACATTACAATAAGGGGCATATTAAATTTGGATCTGGGAGATTTAGGTTCACATGTTGCTAACTATAGATTTGCTGGTCTTAGTATATATTAAGTGGGGGATATCAAGTTTTGCAAGGGGCTAATAACAGTGCAACAGTGATGCTTTCAAGATAACAAAATTTAGGAGGAACAGAAACCTAGACACCTTAACTGTACAAGTTAGGACAGAAGTTGTTGATCTTGATGTTTGATACAGCTCCCAGTATGTGCTTTACCTGTAGAATAAGGTCATGTTTAGACTTTGAAAGAACACTAAAAGAATAAATTGGGGCAAAAATATTATGCTCCATTTTGGTTTAAAAAACTCCACACGAATAAAAATCTGTATCACCTCTGGAAAACACCTCAGTGTTCCCTCTGAATGTGGCAAATTCTGAGCCTAGCAACATGCTTATAATGCTTATCCAGTTCTCTCTATAAAACAAAAGCTTGTCTTAAAGTATTGATGGTCATATGTGCCTTGGTGATGTTGTTGCTAAGTGTACAAATGATTGAACGAGATAAGCAGAAATATTGTTTTCCTGAGAGTGTTTAGGGAGCCTGTAAGGTTTTCTTCTTATGAGTTGCTTCCAAACATAAGCTTTTTAATATTACTTGATGAGTGTCAAATATGACTTTGCACTTACCGGTAGCATGTTTTTGGTCAGCCACATGGCAAATTATGTGTTACTCATACTTTGTATCTTCTGTTTAGCATATCTGTTTGTTTCATTTTTATACTCCCGATCTGGCCAAGGGCCGCTATTGTATTGTGATTGCTCATTAAAAGGTAAACATGGCCTTATTATCCCATTGTGGCAGAGAAAATGAACTAATTTCCTTAATGTCTAATTTGGCTTTCTTTCTTTCTTTCTTTCTCTCTTTCTCTCTCTCTCTCTCTCTCTCTCTCTCTCTCTCTCTCTCTCTCTCTCTGTCTCTCTCTCCCTCCATTTTCTTGCTAACACCACTAAGAAACACAGTACATCATGCCATGGTGTAGCCCACACACCCCTGCCTTGTACTACTCTTTTGGATGTTTTCTTAGTGATTTTTCCATAATACAAGATAAAATGGGTGTGTGTGATAGTATGTGGGACTGTGCAGAAAATGGTAGTCACATTGTCAGTGCTGTCTGCAAAATGTGGGTGAGCAACTCGTGTTCATCCCATCATATATCCTTGCCTTAAATCACCCACAGACTCCCTTTCCTCCCCAGCACCTTCTTTCTGCGGATGTCCCAATCAAGTCCTAGCTGGTGCCAGAAAGAGAAGGCTCCATGCAGTATCACTTTGGGCACCTTTCTGCCTGCTTCCTCTTCAGACAGTGACTCTGGCTGCGCCCTGGAAGATTATTTGCGACCAGCCACAGAGATTCGCCCACCAGAGGTAGGTAGCAAGACCTCTTCTTTCAATTCTTCTAATATATTTGTGGGAGGAATCTCTTAATGTTGCAGGGATTCTTCTGGAAGAGCTGCAGGATCTTTATTTTGTGGGAGCTTGATTTTACCCCTCTATTGCCAGTAAATGCCAATAGCAGCAAGACTGCAGTCAATGCTTTTGCTGCCCTGTGGATCTAGAAATCAAAACCAGCCAGTTCTGTTAAGTGATTGCCTGCTATGACATGCCTCTGCTTCCTCCCATTGCTGAGATTCTGATTGCAGGGAGAAAAGTAAGAGGTGTGTCATAGCAGGATCTGTGCAAGCAGTGGTGGTAATAGATTTGGGTGGTTTTGGTTTTCTAGTACCTGAGGCAGCAAATACATTGCCAGGTGTCTTGCTGTTGTCAGGAGGAACAAGACGGGCTTGAACTGGGGACAGACTGAATTGGCTGGGCAAACCTCATTCTGCATGTGGCTGTTTGACCATATGACATATATGTCAGACCAAACCTGCTTTCAGGTTTCTATGCTGTAAATCTGGGGTAGACAATTGGTGCCCCTCCAGATGGTGCTGGATTGTAACTTTCATCAGGCTTTGCTAGCCTAGCCAGCAGTGAGGGATGATAAGAGTTGCAGTCTAGTATCTGGAGAGCTGCAACATACGCACCCCTGCCACAAACAGATACTAATGCAGATGAATGCTAAGTCAACCCCCTCCCCCAGTTGTTTGTTCTCCCAGGTCCCTGTCATTTGTCTTTGAGCATTCTGTAGGGGTTCATCACTTCCCACATTTTGTTCCTCAACCAGGTCTGTCAAGGGGTGAAGGGGAGAAAATAGCAGTGCAAGCAGCCATTGCTCCTCATGCTTATCAGGTCTACCTCTGCTTCTTTGCCTTGTTCACCTATGCAGGTGTCACCAGACGTTTGCTCATCAGATGCAGCCCCTGCTGCCATTCAGAACCAGCTACGCATCAGAACTCTCCTCCAGCAGCTGCCCCCACAAGACTGTGATGTAAGGTTCCTAAACCTCCCATTTAAGCTGAGCCTTCCTGGGTCTATAGCAAAGCTGCTCTTCCTGTTCACTAAGGCAACTTGCCTTGTGCATGCCTTACTTAAAAAGGCTGCTAACATTTTTCTTTTTTTCAAGTCAGAAAAGCTGGCCACTCTGTTTTTAAAAATGCACTAATGAAACTACAAATGCTGCTTTTGTCTCTCAGAGGTTTTAGCAGGGTGTTTATTATTATTTGTAGGTAAAGGTAAAGGTAAGGTAAAGGTAAAGGTAAAGGTTCCCCTTGACAATTTTTGTCCAGTCGTGTTCGACTCTAGGGGGCAGTGCTCATCCCCGTTTCCAAGCCATAGAGCCAGCGTTTGTCCGAAGACAATATTCCGTGGTCACATGGCCAGTGCGACTTAGACACGGAACGCTGTTACCTTCCCACTGGGGTGGTCCCTATTTATCTACTTGCATTTGCATGCTTTCGAACCGCTAGGTTGGCGGGAGCTGGGACAAGCGACGGGAGCTCACTCCGTCGTGTGGATTCGATCTTACGACTGCTTGGTCTTCTGACCCTGCAGCACAAGCGTCTGCGGTTTAGCCCACAGCGCCAAAAAAAATGCACTAATGAAATTACGAATGCTGCTTTTGTCTCTCAGAGGTTTTGGCAGGGTGTTTATTATTATTTGTACTGAGACGCAAAATACCTTGATTGAAATTGGAGTCTAATCATAAAACTCCATGGTTATGCCACAGAATACATATGCATGGCAGAACAACAGACTTCTACTTTTTAAAGCAAATCGGGAAATAAAAGCAATTAAATAATTTGGTCCCTTGCTGTTTACTTCAATTATAACATTAAGCATTCAGAAATTTAAAGATATTGTGCACTTCTTTCTCCCATCTCTTCAAAACTGTTTGTTACCAAAGCTATAATGAACACTTTTGTCACCTGGGGCAAGCAGCCCAAAATGTACCCTCAAGTCAACTTCATAATTCAAGATGTGAAGAAAAAAAAGTAATTACAGCACTAAACACCTTGCCACCATCTTCCCACCTGCACAGGGAATCAGCAGCACTGTCAGAGATATCAAGAGAAAAGTGAATGTGTGAGATATACACACACTATATATACATATTTTTTTGGCGTATAATATAAACACATAAGCTGACTTTCTCTGTCTAGCCCAGAGGCCCTGTCTACCACTTTTCCCCCCTGTGGCAGTAGACTAAGCTGCTTGGCCAATCCTGGAAGTCTGCCTGAGGATGCCTTCACTATGGGTGGCCAAGGAAGGAGTGTGCCCTGCAGATTTGGCACTCTGGGGCAAAGCCCTGGATGCCCCACCCTAATTATGGCCCTGTTTGTCCCCTTGGCAATTTTGTGGCTCTGATGACTTTTACTAGATCCACGGTGCCAAACACTCTATAGATGCTGTCTTGGAAGGCTGAGGGCACATCATTCAGTCAGGAAGCCAGGGTGGAACTTCTGTTCTGTCTCCTTAGCAATAACAGTCCTGGATGCAGAAGTGTAAAGTTCCCATTGATGGTGGGCAGAGTATCCCCTTCATGCTGCCAGGGTAGAAGACAGCAATACTTGTGTAATGCCTTCACTTTTGTACAAATCTTGCACATGTGATACTCAAAAATACTGCATGGCATTAAGGGAAATTAGAGGGTGACTACATGGGCACTTAGCCTGCTGTTTGGTCCACTGTGGGGACAGGCTGAAAGTGTAAAGTTCCCATTAATGGTGGGCAGAGTAGAAGACAGCAGACATGCTGCCAGGGCAGAAGACAGCAGTACTTGTGTAATGCCTTCCCTTTTGTACAAATGTTGCACATGTGATACTCAAAAATACTGCACGGCATTAATGGAAGTTAGAGGGTGACTACATGGGCACTTAGCTTGCTGTTTGGTCCACTGTGGGGACAGGCTGGTCTACCCCTTTTGCCAGCAATCAGATGACATATTTTTTAGAACAAGCCAGACCACCCCACATCCTTCCTAGACCCCCTCCCCCAATTTCTGAATCCCTGTTAAGGGCCACTCTTTGGAAGCAATTGTTTTAACCAATTAGGTAGCACTGATGTACTGTACCTTTAAGAGAGAAAAAAAGGAATGCTTCTTCCCAGAAACAGGAAAAGGCTGGAGGGGTGTGTGTTCTTTGCACCCTGGAAAGCCAATTTGCTCCGCCAGGGACAGGGGGCATCTTCAACAATTCTGGAAACTCTCCAGCCTCTCATTACTATTTCAAAACTATATGATGTTCCGGTCTGAAACAGTGACCAAAGTGACATTTGCAGAACAGTTTATCCCTCCCAATCTCTGTGAAATTCAAAAGGAACTTGTCCCTATCCTCCACCTCCACTCCCTCAGTGAATTTCCTTTTGCAACCAAACATTTAATTTTCTAGCCCACTAGTTTTAATTGCTGCTTCTCTAATGAGAGGGCAAGCAGAGGTGAATCATTTAAGGACAACTGTGAGGGTAGGAAGAGAAGAATAGAGGGTGACTACATGAGCATCCTGTTAAGATAAGAAAAGCTATAAAAAAGAGGGGGGAAAGGAAATTCCCCTCCTTGCTGTCTCCTGCCTCTTCCCATTTCTGGGAGGAAGCCTTCAATTTTGTTCTGCCCTGATGTGTGTTTGTTTTTTTAAAAAGCATTTCTTAACAGCTTTTCTTAAAGGAGGTGGACTCGATAGGGTCACTATGCTATGTGGATATGATTGCACCATATGGCATATGGGATCTCCAACCCTATTTAGCTCACACCAGCCTGCTCCAAATGGGCTGTGTAGTCAAGCATTCAGTGGAATGGAACCCTATATATGATTGCTTGGGAATAAATTCCACTGAATAGAGTGGTGTTTTCTTCTGAGTAGACACACACAGGATTGCCTTGTTAGGGACAAAGAACTAAGAATATGGCAACAGAGAAAAAGAGGATTTTTCACTGGTGCATAGTACAGTAGTATGCGGATGAGCTTCAAGTTACAACCAGAAAAAGGCAGGGAAAAGGCGGGGAATTCAAATTGCTAACTGTTGGTAGGCAAAGAGGCTGCTTCTTTGTAGCTCTTTTACCCACAGGAGGCTTCGGACTGCCTGGTAAGGTAAGGTGCTTCTTGCTACTTTTTAAAAACTGTTCTGGGTGGGTTTTGCAGCGTGGTTTTGGGCTGGGTGGTGGGATTATGTTTCTATGCTGTGATGGCTCTTGCAGGGTTTGTTTGTTTTTTGGTTTGGTTTCCCCCCCAATTCCGATGGGTCTTGTGGGGTTTGTTTGCTTTTTTGGAGGGGTTCCCCATTTCTGACGGGTCTTGCAGGGTTTGTTTGCTTTTTGGCTCCCCCCCCATTTCCGATGGGTCTTGTGGGGTTTGTTTGCTTTTTGCTTTGCTTTTTTTCCATTTCCGAAGGGTCTTACATGGTTGGTTGGTTTGCTCTCTGCTTTGCTTTTTTGCATTTCCAGTGGGTCTTGCATGGTTTGTTTGCTTTCTGCTTTGCTTTTTTGCATTTCCAATGGGTCTTGCACGGTTTGTTTGCTTTCTGCTTTGCTTTTTTTGCATTTCCAAAGGGTCTTACATGGTTTGTTTGCTTTCTGCTTTGCTTTTTTGCATTTCCAATGGGTCTTGCATGGTTTGTTTGCTATTCTTTTCTTTTTTTCCCTTTGGCCGGAACAGATTAATTACATTTCAGTGCATTCCTATGGGAAATGGTGGTTCGACTTATGACCATTTCGAGTTACAACCAGAGTTCTTGAACCAATTAAGTTCTTAAGTCGAGGCACCACTGTATCATGGTTTCCTGTTGTAATTTAACATAGTATGAGATAATTGGTTAGTAAAATACTATATACATATATTGATTGCCCTGTTTATATTTTATTTGGCTATTTTATAGTCAACATTTGGATAGCATTTACCCCAGATGGCAAATATTTTTTCAAAAAAATTACTGTGAAATTTCTAAAGTTATTTGCTAATTACTTGAGGATAACTTCCTATGGCCTGTGTCTGCATTCATCATTCTAAACACTCTTGTGGGTCTTGTTACCATGTTCTGTTTTTTTATTGAAGGAAAGATACTGCTCATCCATTGGGGAAGAAGAAAGGGAACAGTTGCGAACCTTTGCTGCACGGAGGCGTCAAGAATCCCTGGGACAGGGAGCCATGTGCCCGGTGGTCCCTACAACTCATGGGTGCTCATGCAAAAAGGTGAGCCATCCTTACCCTTGATATTGGACACTAATGTTCTGTGATAGCACCTTTGCTTTTATTGCTTGCTGTGAGAGTTCGGTTGCATTAACGTTGGAAAAAGCATGTTACAGTTTAAAAGCTGATGCTTAAATCCTCAAATTTTAAAGAAAGAACAGAGAAAGTGCAGTGGGAAAAGTTAAGAAACCACCTTTTTAAAAAAGAAACCAGTACCTCTAAAATAATGTATTGTTTTAACTAGTTTCCACTTGAAAGTCTGGCAAAATACCATATTTTTAATCATCATCATCATTGCATAGAATGCATCTTTCTTTGTGCAGAATTTGAATTGCTTGGACATAATTTTTTTTAAAAAAGACCACAGACAACATAATTGCAGGTGTTTTAGCAGGTGACTGCACCTTAGATGAAGATATGAAACTACTGGATAGCTCAGGGGTTTGGACATGTGGCTGCAGACCCGGAGATTGGGAGTTCAATTCTTCACTATGCCTCTTGGACAGGGGGTGGACTCAGTGATCCATTTATTTTATTTGATTTATTCGATTTCTACCCCGCCCCTCTAGACAACGTCTACTCCATATGATCCCTTCCAATTCTGCAGTTCCAAGATGATGATGATGATGATGTTATTCTGTCTGCTTGATTTTCAGTGTGGTAAGATGATGAGTGAAGGTGAACAGGGAGTATTTGCATCTCTCCTGGGAGAACAATGTTGCTGGCATCCTGCTTGTTTTGTTTGTCACACCTGCCGTGAGCCTCTAGTAGATCAGATTTATTTTCATCGGCATGGGAAGATCTACTGTGGTCGTCACCATGCAGAGTTTTTCCGTCCACGCTGTGCATCATGTGATCAGGTAATTATATCCTCAAACACTGGTAGGAATAATGATGCTTCTGTTCTTCTAATCAAACATCTTGTGCGTGTAGGAAATGATGCAATCTCAGAAGTCTTACAGAGTCTCAATAAAGATTCTTGGCAATTAAGCAATAGCACTTTTACATACTTTCTTGATTGATGTCACAGATAGAAGAAGCAAAGTACAAGAAAAGAATGCAAGAATTAAATATACAAATTTTACAGGCTCTGTTTTTATCAGATAAACTTAATTATTTTTTATGGCAGAGTACTTATAGATTTGCTTGAGGCATAGCAGAAAACCACTATTTACATAGCTGTATGTGGCATACCTTGAAGCAGAAATCTTGATCTCTTAGGCTACAAGAGGGATGGCCCAGTCACAATTCTGGTTGGTTCCTAGTATAGACCAGTGGTTCTTAACCTTGGGTTACTCATGTGTTTTTGAAGTGCAACTCCCAGAAACCCCAGACAGCACAGCTGGTGGTGAAGGCTTCTGGGAGTTGCAGTCCAAAAACACCTGAGTAGCCCAAGGTTAAGAACCACTGGTATAGACCACAAAGCTGGGATCTCCACTCAGGGCCAATTCAAGACTCTGGTGCACCTGGGCAAAAAAATATAATAGTGCCCCCCTCCTCCCTCCCTCTTTGTTACCTCCCACCTAAATAGGTCACGCAGCATGAACAATGAAATATGACATAAAGAAGACTGACTCACTAAGGTAATCTCGGGAACAGTAAATAAGTGAACAATATTTAGGTAAACAAACAACATAACAATGAAAAGGAAGTCTAGTTAATGAGGGAGGGATGAGGCAAGGGAAGCCTAAAGCTGATTTTTGAGGCACTCTGCCTATGGCCAGAGAAGAGGAAAAGTTGTGCACATTGTGTGCAGAACATGCTGAGGCTGCAATCCAGAGCAGGCCCCACGTGGGAGGGAGGCTGCCTGTTGTGTGGGGTTGCAGGACGCTGGGCTCAGGCACAGCAAGAGGTGGAGGCCAAGCCCACATACTCTCCTCAAAGCCAAAACGTTTCTATCCAAACAAAATCCAAATCAGTGCAGTGAAGGTTTGTGTGAATTGTATTATTTGATTAGGAGCCAGGTGAGTACAGCTCTGCCTTCTCCCGTTTTAATAATCTTGTGTGTGGAAATAATAGGCCATACATTCTCTCTGTCTCTTCAGCTGATCTTCACATCAGAGTGCATGGAGGCAGAAGGCTTGCGCTGGCATGAAGAGCACTTCTGTTGCCTGGAGTGTGACTTGCCCCTGGGCGCACAGCGATATGTCATGAAGGGTGGCCAGCCTTGCTGCTGTGCTTGCTTTGAGAGTCTTTATGCAGACATCTGTCAAGCTTGTGGAGAGATTATTGGTAGGTCTCAAGTACTTCTGCAATCTCATACAGCGCATAGAGAATTACCTTGCACTGAGACCATTCATTCAGTCTAGCTAAATGGTAATTAAAGCAGAGATGGACAGCTTTGCCCAGGCTAGCCATTGTGAGCCACCTCGTTGAACTCTGAAAAACACCTTGTCCCCATACTGGCTGATCATACTTCCAGAAGTTCCCAAGGATTTGTATTTATCAGTTTTAAGAATGAATTCATCAAAGCTGTAGTTTCCAAATTAATTAACAAAAAAATGGGACATATCTTTTGTTTTCCTGTCATTGGGAGAAAGCTGCATGCATCAGATTACCTTTTTTCATTTTTCTCACAGAGACCAATAAATTATTGTTTTTTTAATGTGCTTTTAAGTCACCTCCAAAAGCTCCTACTGTTAACAGTCCTGCTTAGGTCTTGCAAACTCAATACCATGGCTTCCTTTATTGAATCAATCTATCTCATATTTACTGTTCCTATTTTAATGCTATGTTCACCTCCTCCCAGCATTGGGAATTAAAATATATTCCTTTGAGAGAAAAAAACATACAAACATATTTTAGAGAATGGGGGAATGTGTAAAGAATGCAAATATTGGGAAAAGATTCTAATGACATACAGAGGTACTTCCTCAGAAGGAGAAAAAACCCAAAAGTCTTGAAACTTGATTTGAATGGATCATGGTAAGAAAATGCATAAATGGGATTAGGAGGAATGCAACAAGAATTTTTTTCACTTCCCCATTACCAGCATTTCCTGGAGATGCCAGGATCAGACCTAGGATCTTTTGCACACAGAGCATGTGCTCAACCACTGACCAGCAGGATTTTCCACTTACCGTATTTGCTGGCGTATAAGATGACTTTTTGGCCAAAAAAACATGCCTCCAAGTGGGGGGGTCGTCTTCTACGCCGCCGTTGAGTGAGTGACATGAGGCCGCGCCGGCCGGGGAGGAAGGCAGGCGGGTAGGCAGGCGGTCAGTCCGGATGGAGGGAGGGAAGCAGAGCCGGCCATGCCTGAGCGGCCAGAGCCCATCGCCGGGCTGCATGCCACCCCGCGCAGCTGAGCCAGCTGCCTGTTCGCCTGCCCGCCGCCGGAGAGCTTTTTCCCCTCCTCCTCCTCTTCCTCCTCCTCCTCTGCTGCTGCCGCTCACCCGGCCACTTCCTCTCCTCCTCGCCCTCCTCATTCCCAGCCATGAACTTCCAGGGCAGTCCCGGGCAGAGCCCTGGGCAGCTGCCGCTGGCGCCGCAGCAGAGCCATCCACTCTATATTTTGAGTGGAAATGTTGGGGGGGGTCATCTTATACACCCAGTCGTCTTGTACGCCGGCAAATACGGTATAAAAATATATCAAGAGCACCATGTCTACAGGCTGCTTCAGCGGAAGTTAGGGTGATTTGGTTGTGAGGCCACACGGATGATATTGTTATGGTCATACTGGGGAGCAGTACAAGGAACATCTATGTTTGATTTTTATAGTTAAGGATTTTCTTTTCTTTCTGCTATAATAGCCTTTCCCCCTTTTTTTGTGCAGAATATATCTGGGCACATCCCATTCTTAAATGTGCCAGGACACTCCAGCAACTATGTTCTACATTCCCATTGCATAAGGCAAAACTCTTGTCCGGTTTTGTTCTCTTCCCACAGGAGTTGACAGCGAGCAGGCCACCCTTCAAGGTCAGCACTGGCATGCCAAACCCTCCTGCTTCTGTTGCAGCCTTTGCCAAAAAGCATTGCTAGGCCAGCTGGTCACCATTCGAAACGGCCTCCTCTTCTGCAGTGAGGCCTGCAGCTTGGAGAAGGAATTGGCTTTGTCTTCCGCTGGCTCAGATTCCTCCGACTCTGCTTTTATCTCTGCCCCGTCTCCTGACTCCACGCCCATCTCTAGAACTAGAAAGAGGAGCCCAGGCTGTTCTGCTGATGGAGCAAGAAACAACAGTGATGCCTATAAGGAAATGGTGGATGCAGATGGTAATGTCTTTGGTGATCAGCCTCTGGAAGCAGGGATCAACCAGGTGCCCAGTCAGTTGAGCCAAATCAAGGAAAGGGTGCAGCAAAACTGCTGATTGATTTTGGGGGGCAGGTGCCTGGGCAAGATACATTCAGTATACCCTCTCCTCCCAGAATGGGTCCTTTTCCTTTCCACTGCATGTTCACTTGCCTTTCTTCCAGTCGCTGTCACTACACAGAAGGACAGAGCGAGGCAAGTGAAGGCTGCTGCTGCTGCTGCTGCTTGCTATTTGTTAGGTACATTTATCTGCTACTTTTCCTCTAATGACCTAAGAGTCACATACATGGCTCCCTTCATAACCACGACAATAAGCCCTGGGGTAGTTCAGGCTGAGAGGGGTAAGTCCAAGGTCACCCAATGAGCGACCTTCCCAGTTGCAGTGCACCCTCCTTTCAGTAGTCAGGGTCTTCAGAATGATTTCATATGCTTTTTCTATTGTTTTTCAACAGCTGGAAGTCTTCATCCACTTGGGGATTCATCATTATCTCCTGAATTTGGTGGTCAAGAGGAGGCAGGAGTTGTTTCTAGAATCAGTATGGTCTCCCAAGAGCCTGATGGATTTGAGTCGTCAACTGATTCACCACGTAGGGAGATGGGAACTTCCACCCTCCATCTTTTGGCAACAGCTGGGAGCAGTGAGAAGGAGAGCAACATCTTAGGATCTGCTCCTCCACAGGCACCTTGGCAAGGGATTGGAGATCATCAGTGTGGAAGTAGTCTCTCTATAGTGCCTCTTGGATCAGTATTAACTGTGGACTTACCAGAGAGCCCATACAAGGGCATCCCTGATGGACAGGAAACAACAATAGATCAGTGTGACACTTGGTGCCCCACATGCTCATCCTCTTCAGATTCGGACTCTGAGCCGGAAGGCTTCTTTTTTGGGAAACCGATTCCAAAGCCTGGGGCCCGACGTGTTGCTCTCTCTGACATGGAGCAGATGACACCGGGCAAAGGAACAGGGTGGGCAGCCAGAGCAAGGGCAAGCGGTAAGCACTGTAGCATAGCCTAGCATGGAGTTACTTTCCTAGGTTCTTGGATAGTGTAAGACAGACAGAAAGGAGGAGTCACAAGCAGACACTTTATATAACACATTGTAATGGAGAAGAAGAATGGAAAATCATCTGCTTATGAATGCAAATGAAAGACAAGGCTAGCTAACTCAGAACAGCCTTGAGGAACATGACTGCCAACAGAAGATACAGAGTTTGCATTTCCATAGGCCGTATGTTTTGGAGATTAGGGAAATTGTCTCCTCTACTTCTGTAGCTTTGACTTTTTAAAAAAATGTGTAAGTTTGTTTCCAGGCAAGCTTGCTGCCCATACCAACATGCTCCACTTTCTGTAGTGCCCCAGTTGATAATGGCATTTAAAAAAACAGGTAGAACAAGTTAAGGATGGAAAGGTTACTGGGTGTGTGCACGTATCTACACATATTTCTCACACAAATGGAGAGGGTGATCAGCATGCCCACTTTCTGCACTGCAGCCAGTATTTTCACTGAGTGGAAAAACAGAGAGGTAGAGACAGGGGCTGCTTTAAATGGCTTTGGAATCCGCCTTGGAAACCTTTCTGTGGAGCCAGCATTTTCATTAACAATGGCCTGTGTTCTCCAGTTCAATCTGTGGTTAATTCTTCTGTGCTGCTCCCTGCTGACAGCTCTGGGGATATTTCGTGAGCAGCAGGAGATACTGGGGGCAATTACAAAGTCCTGACAACTACATTCATGATCCTAAAAATCTAAATGTACTGCTTATTTATATGCATCAGTCTGTGATAGACGAATAATTTTTAAAATCAGTCTAGTCATTAAATGTTCACATACGAAAATAATTAAGATCTTGGGAAAGATTAACACGGTCTTGAGAGCATACAGGAATAGGTTAAATGGCACCGAGTGACTTCTGCTTTGAACAAATCACTGGCTAAAGTTGATTTAATAATCTTACAACTGCAGCTCTGGAAGGGACTCTATGGATCATTGAGCCCATCCTCCATCAAGTGAGGAATTCAAATCCCAACTTCTGGCTCCGCAGCCAGATTTCTAAACCACTGAGCTATCCAGCAGTTCTTATAAGCAGTAACCTCTTTGCTTCAAGCATTAAATAAATGACTTTTCTCTAAATGGTAACCACAAATACATATTAGACAAAAGTTAGTTGGCAGACAAACAGTGGCTAAAATCCTGATCGACAGGGTCTGAATGAGGAACAGGAACGATGGGAGCAGGAGCAGATTGCTGCCCATCAAAGACTTATTTTTGCAATTCTGTGGTAAGCATGGTTTTGTTGCACTGTGTGCAAGCCGTGCACACCCTGAAAACACAAAGGGAAGCCTAATCATTGGCAATCTACTGCTGCCCAGGTGGAGGTGCACACCAGGGTTTCAGCCAATAAGCTGATCCCACTAAAGCCTTATGCAAGGTAGTGCCAGTTTCCACCATCCCTTCCCAAACATCCATGTGTGGACATGCACAGTTCTAAAGCTTTCCCTTAGCAGGTTAGCATAGTGATTGGTTGGGGAAGGTAGGGAGCTTAAGTTGCCAGGGAGGTTAACCACAACATTTTTATTGGTTCCATGACTACTGATAGCCAAGCTCAATAGCAGGCACAGTGATCAGCAGAAGTTGCCCTTTTGCTTCTCCTGCATACATTTGTGACAGAGCAGCAAACACCTTCTGTTCATTGCCCAATGTCTGTGCCAAAGGTAGAAATTCTGAAAGGGGAGATTTATGCATGAGTTGCTGTTTACTTATGGAGGCCTCACCTATAGAGGAAACGAGGCAAGGCTCTGTGGGTACGGTGATGTCACAAGACATTCTTCAGCATGACTATTGAAGCAAAATCGAGATACAGCATAGAGTGGGGCAGAGACCTGGTGACTTTCAGTTATTTTGGATGCACATCCCATCAGCCTCTACCAGGACTGTCAGTTGTCAGGAACTACATAGTCCAAAGATCTGGAGGGCAACAGGTTACCAGTTTTTGACAGGAAGAATGTGAGATGAAGGCATCAGATTGTAGCCCTTCTTCCACATTCTGCATAAATTGAGCAGGTTCCTGTGATCCTTGCCCAGCAACCTCCTAACTCGTACATATTCAAAAGGCACAAAGATACAAAAAAAAAAAATTAACTCTATCTTATTTGAATTGACTTAATATCCCTAAATAGGATACTAAAAGAATGGTAAGCAGATTTACTTGGAGCTGAGTGAGCAGTAATAGTACAGGGAAGTACACTTTCAAATAAAAGCTCCAAAATATGTGTTGTTCCCATGTATAAGTTTATTATTTATGAAATGCTGTGTCTTGACATTCAAGAAACAGATGCTATTTATGCAGATGGGGGGATACTGGACTTTCAATAATCATAAGTCCGACTTCATTTTCTCTGTTCATAACAGCTGAATTCAAAAGAGAACAAAAAATGCAGAATCAACCACTACTGTGAGCCTCGGTACAAGATCAAAGGCAAACCTGTGTAACAGTTTATTTCACAGAGCTGTGTGCCAAAATGAAGTTTACCCACTTATTCCCTGAGTTAAATTTCTGGAGAAGCCTCTGGGTACACACTTGCCAAAGTAATCTGACCAGGAGGGTTCCTCGGCTGTTCCATCACAAGCCCTTTTTCAGAAGTACAGCCAAGTCAAACTTGCAGCTCTTTCAGTTATTGCTTCTGCATCCTGTTGCTGCTGTAGGCTAAATACATATTTCCCAGAGGTTTCACATCCCTGTTGCTGAAAAGAGGCTTTTTCCAGTTCCCCCCATTCATTGACAAGTCCAAAAAGAATGCAACAGGCCAAGGTGATATCAATCAGATCTTCCCACTGTATCCCCTCTTAGCTGGTTTCTGCCAAACTGTCAATATAATTGCTTAACATGCATCCATAGTAGTCTCCAATCCTCCTCAGGTTGGCCCGGAGTGCTGAGTCCATAGCTTCCTGCATGCATGGTGCCTTTTCAACCAGCATAGTGGCCACTCCTGCAAAGTTGAGAAGCACCTGCAGATAGGCCTGTAAGAAACAATAAGCAGTCCGTCAAGTAAGTGAGCCATTATATGAATTGTAACAGTGGGTAAATTTCTGAAGATCACATCTCTCTGTACAGATAAGTACTTAGAGGCCTGGCAAATGTGAAGTGAAAGGAGAACAGGTAGGTAATGCCACACACAAAGGGTGAAGTTTAATCTACTCTAGAAACAACTTTCACACACAGATATCAAAACTGGTTAATGAGTTCAACTAATCAGATGAAATGGGGATTGTGATCTGATAGTTGTGGGTTTTTCGGGCTCTTTGGCCGTGTTCTGAACATGGCCAAAGAGCCCGAAAAACCCACAACAACCATTAGATCCTGGCCATAAAAGCCTTCGCGGAAAGATTGTGATCTGCTTGAATAATTATAAACAAGGAACAGGAAGATAGTCATTGTGTGAAGAAAGGACCAGATGCATCTTGCCTAGCGGCTCTGCATCTCTTGCTCTCCTACCTCCTTATCCCATGTATTACTATTATTAGGAAGAAGTTTACAGATAGAACATTGTGTTTAAAAGGACCAATGTATATGTTGCAGAATAAGATCTTATGACACATTTTTCCATTAAAGCAGTCATTTGGGGTGAGGGGAATTTGGATATACTTTGGTGTAGCTTTATATTTCATTTGCAGTTAGTAACAGTGAAAGGGAAAACAACATAATGGCATGTGAAAATAAGATGATTTGACTAGATGCCATGTATTTCAATGGAAAGTCTTGATTTTAGGGCAAGAGAAATGTTTCTTCTTTGAAGTAACAGTATATAGTAGGAGCCCCATGTCAGTGGGGGATCCATTCCACGATCTCCCATGAATGTCTGAAACTGCAGATAGTAACAAAACTTATATACAACATATAAAGAGGCAAGACAAAGGGCACAAGGCCCAACCCCTTGTATACTGTATATAGGACTGCAGTAAACCACAGATAACTGAAACCATGGATACAGGGGTCTTGCTGTACTAACAAGATAGTGAAATTAAAAGCTTTACTTTTATAACATTTTTTGTAACATGGTCCTCTCCAGATATAAAGGGCTACAGCCTCCACCATCCCATCCATGCTAGCTGGGACTAATAATATTGTAGTCCAACATATCTGAAGGTAGGTACGTAGGTTGGGAAAGCTGCTATGAAGAAACAAGGCCAACCACAAGGGGGTGTAATGTGTAACTTATAAAATGACATGATATGGCTAGAATGTCTTGCATTTAGTATCTTAGCTATGTACAGTTTGGGTTGTGGTTACCTGTTGATAGTGAAAAGAATTCAGACAGGCTCTATCCTCCAGCATGCAGATAAGAGGGTTGAGTCCTGGCCAAATTCAGCCCACAGTCCTGCCAAAGCTAAATCCACAATAATTTCAAATTGTCACAAATTACTTCATTTAACTGTGAATGAGGACTTTATTTCTCCGTCACCAAAGACAATTTATTCAGGGTGAAACAAAGCAGAAAATAGATGTTCACAAAAATAAGCGTTCAAACCTCCTTCAAGATGGGACCATCTAAACTAAGAAAAGAGACAGGCCTTTTATTCCTGATCTCTGTGTCGTGCTCAGAACATAAACCATCTTCACCAATATTTCTGACAGCTCCAATCTATTCCTTACACACATAAGCTGCTGAGGAGGCTCCAGTTTTCCCTACCTCTTCAATTGCTTCTTTTCTTGCCAGCACGGCTGCAGAACGGTCCTTGGGAGTCCATGGCATTGTTGAAGAGTTGGTTTTCTCTCCAGCGCTGGGTTGGTGTGGAGAACATGTGTTCTCACTTTTGGCTGCCTTCTGGAGCTTAAAAGATTTTCCAGCAGGATGGGGAGTTAACATGGTCTAGAGCACTTTTTTGTCTAAGGAACTCAAAGTTTCAACAAGAACCAGATAATAATAAAATGGTATTGGGTAAGGTATCAGGAGTTACAGGATCTAAATGTTAAAAATACATAAACTCACCAGTGAACTGTGTTATTATAATAAGATTTATGGATTATAGTGGTGCCTCGCATAGCGATTGCTCCGTTTAACGAAGAAATTGCTTTGCAATGCTGTTTTTGAAGAAATGCACTTTGCGATGATCGCGGGGAAGCAATCATCGCAAACGCCCCATTTTCACCAGCTGATCGACAGGGCCTTTGCGATGATCGCGGGGAAGCCGCAAAGGCCCCGCCGATCAGCTGTGCTTCGTCTCTCTCTCTCTCTCTCCACCCCTCGCAGCTCCACGAGGGGTGGAGAGAGAGCTGAAGCACAGCTGATTGGCAGGGCCTTTGCGATGATCGTGGGGAAGCGATCATTGCAAAGGCCCCGCCGATCAGCTGGCGAAAATGGGGCGTTTGCGATGATCGCGGGGAAGCGATCATCGCAAAGGCCCCATTTTTGGCCAGCTGATCAGCTGCTCCAAAATGGCCGCCTGCTGTGTTGCCTCGCTTTAGAGGCACCGAAAACGGCCGCTGCAATGGAGGATTTTCGCTTAAGGTTAGCTTAGGAGCCCATAGGAACACATTGAAGTGGTTTCAATACGTTTCTATGGGCTTTTTAAAATCACTTAGCGACAAAATCGCTTAGCAGCAATTTTTGCTGCACGGATTAATGTCGCTAAGCGAGGCACCACTGTATATCTAAAATGTATGTACAAAGTAACAAGTCCAGAGTACACATTTATTTCATGAATTTCAGAAATATAGAATTACAATTTCTTACAGTTCACAGAACAGACAAAGAAGTATGAGAGAATTACTAATTCAAGAAGTTCAGAAAGAAATATGCATGCTGAAAGGAAGAAATGTGGACTAAAATTGGAAAAGAAATAGTTGTAACATATGCAAAAGGGAAAAAATAAGAAAATAGCATGATGGAAAAGGGAAAAATTAGAAGATATAATCTGAATCATTTATATTAAAAACACCTGTAGAAACACTCCAGGAAAGATTCAGCATAGGAGAAAATGAAGGCTTCTCAAAGTTTCTACAAAAGTAACCAAGTGTTGAATCAGCAGAAAAACTTACAAATATAAACAGAAGATTTAACAGACACCAAGGTCTCTTTTCCACAGAACTTAGTGCACCAGAGAAGAAATATGCAAAATGCCCCCCCCACATGTCTGACTTTGCTTCTGATAACATCCCCAGGGGTTTCTACATTCTAATGGATCTTTATTTACCAGCCCCAACTGATTAATGGTCATGCAAAGATATATGGTACTATCAATCCCTCATTACTCAAAAGTCACATTTTATTTGTTGTTTTGTCTTCACAGGAGACTGATAAATTCCACATTCCTAATTGGGGAAAATTCCCAGCTGAAGGCAATAAAGATCAAACAGGTGCCATTTGCTGAGAGGAGAAACCAGCATTGTTTTTCCTCCAAAATACCAAAGAGTCTTTCATCACAACCCCTTAATCACTACTTGTCTCTCTCTCACACATCCCATTAACAAGGACAGGAGTGTTTTAAGCAAGCTGGCTGGAGGACAGTTATGACTGCTTATGAACAAATCTCAATTTCACAGCTTATTCTGTTCTGTCCAGCAGGCCTGGTTCCAAGACACTTGGTCCAAAAACAGACCACCCTAATAAGAGCAAAACAAGGTGCAGGCTAAGGGTACAGCATTGTTCTTGTAGAGGCAAGAAGAAATCACTAAGAATAGAGAAACTCTCATATCTCCCCCACCTCTTTATTTTTTTTTACTATTACAGTCGTGCCCCACTGGACGATTACCCCGCTCTACGACGAATCCGCATTACGTTGACATTTTTGTGATCACTTTTGCGATCGTAAAACGATGGTTTAAATGGGGGAATTTTGCTTAGGGATAATCAGTTCCCTGCTTCGGGAACCGATTTCCGCTTTACGATGATCAGCAAACAGCTGATCGTCGGGTTTTAAAATGCCCCCCCCTGCTGTTTTCTAGGACAGATTCCTTGCTTTACAGGCACTGAAAATAGCCGCCATATGGAGGATCTTTGCTGGACGAGCAGGTATTCAGGGGTTTTTTTGTTTCGTTTGACGCTGTTTTCGCTCTACAGCGATTTCGCTGGAACGAATTAACATTGTCAAGCGAGGAACCACTTTATCTACCTCCCTTTAAAAAAATCAGTTCATAATTTAAAATTAAAAATAAACACAAAAATGTAATTAAAATTTAAAATAAGAACAAATTGTTTCTTTTGAGAATTCCAGTAACAGCAAATCTCATAGTTTTCTCCCACCCACCCCCATCCCAGCATTTCTCACCCCTACCCCCTTGGGGAGCACAGCTTCTCAAGTTTTGGAATGAATCCTTTACAGCCAGGGTAATCTCAGAGAGAAATATGTCCATTAGTTATAAACACCATCAGGTTGAACTGAGCAAAGAAAAGACTAAGAACAGAAAATAAATCTTTTGCAATCCCAGATAATGAGCTGGACAAATGCAAGACAGAACCCTTCTTCCTACCAGCTCAGGCCGTAGAACAGGTGGTAGGTTTTGTGCAGCCTCTGGCAGGGTGGATGCTTCAGTGTGACCGACAAGGACATGGTCTTGTGTTGTTTGCTTCTCTGGCTATTTAAAAAAATGAAATAAAAAAGGAGGAATTTTTTTCTAGGCCTTAACAAAACAGGGTTTAGGCAATACAAGGAATATAACATCACTGGTCAACACGCCTATTGCTATGTCTAGATTCTTTGTCAACATGTCAAAGTTAGATGCAAAGGATCCTATGAACTTTGTTAAGGTATTCAGGATCTCCAGCACCCTGCAATTCTCAGAGGAAAGATTTTCTCTTCACAAATAGATAAAGTAACAGGCTTTGCTAATACTGTATAGAGATCTGGCTTTCCAGAACAGCAAGTGCCAATGAAATCAAATATTTAGTGAATAAATGGTTTATGATAGATGGCTAGCTAATGTGATACTGGACTCTAGACCATGAAAATTCAAATCCCCACTCTGCCAGTGAAACTCACTGAGCAACTGTGATCTAGGTAATCTCTACAAGCTTAAGCTGTTTCACAGCACTGTGGCAAAGATAAAACAATATCCATATACCAAGCTGATTAGACAAATGGCAAATATCTTCCCTACAAGCCATTTTCCTTTCAGAAATATTTCCTATAGTTAGGGAACTAAAGTGTATTCCGTAACAAGGTTTAGCAGACTTATCTTTGTTCTGCTTTCCACTGACCTTGTCACAGTAAGAAAGTTTGCAGTCATCAGCAAGGTTTACAGGCAACAGAGCGGCTGCTTGAACTCCCCCCAGTCTTCACAACACTACTTCTATTGTCCATATGGCATCCTCTAATGACCTTAAGGCCTCCCAGAATTCTCACTTTTTTGTAATCACAGACCATTTATTCCCTCTGTTTCCTTTTGTCATAAATGTTGCTTTCTTTTGCTGAATGTTATCCCTCTGTAATTTCAGCATTTAAAAACCACCAGCTGCCATTTACCCATCTATGGTGATTACTACATTCCAGGCAAAGTACAACAAATTGCTAGGATCAGTTCTGGTTTTGTGTTAATAAGAATGAGAGACAGTGACAGGTCTAAGGTCACTGGCTTTCAGTTCCTGCCAGCATATAAGCTACTGATTTTACCCAAATTTGTTGCTACCAAATTGCACACTGTTGAAAAACGTCAGCGTTTTGGTACAAATTAGCCTTAAACTTCTTGTTAGAACCGGTGCATAGTCTCATTATGAACCAGCAGCTTCAAACATTAGCCTCCTGAACCTTTTCAAGATCCTCATTCCACCAGTATATCTGTTCTTAGCAACTAATAAGAATTATTTCATTTCATACCGACTCTGTTTCTTTTTTAATCTTTGGTAGGACTTCCTGTTTTTTTTGTAGGGGTGCTGAGCAGTCAGGCAACCGAAAACTAAATTCAGAAGGAGATATGATGGCTTTGCTGGATTCCTGATGCCATGAGAAAAGAAAGGATGAGTGATTAAATGAGCAGAAAACATTGCTGTTTGTATAGTTACTAGTTATATATATGCTCTGTCTTTTCTCCAAATATTTTAATTATTTTTCTGTAAACATACTTATTCTTCAGAAAAGTACCTGGAGATATTTTGTGTGGAGGGAGAGAGGCGATGATTAGAAAACACCTAAATGACAACCCACAAACTTGAGAATAAACCTCTTGAACATAGTAGGACTTACGTCTAAGTAGAAGTGCCTAAAACTGCACTCTTTTAAGAGTTTTTTTAAATCACAGAATCTGTTACATAATCTGCTACGTTGGGCTATATTGTGATTCTGCCTCACCCTAAACTTCTCATAATTAATTATGGCTTCTGCATGCTAACTATTCAACTCTAAACCCCACTGAACTCAGTGGAACTTATTTCTGACATATAAAAAGATCATGCTCTGATTGACTTTAATCCCCACTTTATCCACAAAGATACAATTTAAAAAGTGAGGGAACCCACTGCCTTAGACAACCAAACATGAGCACAACAATTTCAGAAAGCATTAGTCATATTCTCATACATGGCTAAGACAATATTTCTGGAGAAAAGGGATTAGAAATTCCACCCACTCCCACAGGCTATGGGTCAAGCTTAGAACATGCCAAGAACTGATACAGACGGAAATATGCTGCAGAAAAGGGATAGCTAGTGCTTGACATTAATTCAGAGAGGGGGGGAATCAAAAAGCAGATCAGACTGATGTCTGGGGGATCTCCAACATAGAAGCACCAAGGTGTCAAATTCTAAGTTACATTCCTCATTCACTTAAATATTTTCTGTTCACATCAAAGCTAGGCTGACAGTTAGGGTATGTGTGATTTCCAACTCTGCCCACATTGCTTATGAAGGAGAGGGCAGAGAGTCTGTGCGCAACCTCTGTTTTTCACACTCTGCTGTCTTCAGCTGAGGGATGTGGTGGAAACCTAGTGGATATTATAGCAGGGGGAAATTTACAGCCATCAGAATTGCTTTCCAGGTCTTTCTTCAGTGTGATAACTTAAATTAGCTTGAATTCCAATTTAAAAGGGAACCAGTTTAAATTCCAGATTACAAATTATTGGCCCCAAGGGGATTACTTGACTGGAAACACACAAATCTCTGATGAAATTCCGTTGTCAGAGAAAAAGAAAAGTGGTAATCTCAGGAAATAGGTATTTCTCTTACTGACTGATTTAACCCTGAGCCGAATTAGAAGAGACAGGGTTGCGGCTTAATGGTAGAATACATTCTTTGGATGTTCATGGAACATAACTTGAAAGGCAGAGATCCTACAAAAGTATATTGAAAAATGTAATTTGAACAATGCCAAATAGATGCAACAGGGCTATTGTGCCTGCAGTATGAGTAGTTGTGCAGAATAGAGAATTTCACCAGGTGCAGCTTCTCTCAACCAGTGTAGGGGACATTTGTTCTGGTGACGACGTTTGGCAGTATGCACCAATAGTCCTTCTGGGCCTAGACTGCCATCTGGACAGCTTTGTTCTTTTCATTTCAGACAGTTACCCAGTATGGTATAGCTCAGGAATATATGTATTCCTAAATGTCCTTGGCAAAAACTTAAGGCCAGTCACCTAGTGAGGAAAATACTTAGAATGATCAGTTTAGTTATTGCTTCGACCTGATAAGAATGTATAAATATTGCGAGATTACACAAATACAGGTGCAGTTAAACTGAAACAATACAGTATATAAATTCTCAGGGTGACCTTAATAAAGAGAGCTTTAGCCTAGACCTGAAGCTCTCTTTGCTAAGGGCACCCTGATAATTTATATAGGTGCTGTGTATTTTGCTGGCTGATGGTACTCATTTGCTCCAGAAGGTTTGTTACTTCATTCCATGCACAAGTCTATTGGTTTGCTATACCTCTCTAATAAAATCTTCTACTTGCAGCCTTCAGCCCTTCTAAAGCTGTTGCCAGCAGGGGCAGGACACACCTCTACAGAATTACAATGATCCACAGAAACTCCCATATTTTACACCAATGGTTCCCAATCTTAGGTCCCCAGATGTTCTTAGACTACAACTCCCTGAAGCCTTCGCCAGTAGCTGTGGTGGCAAGTGCCACTACTGAAGTCCCAAGAGCCTTCATGTTTGGCCACTCTTACCAGAGGTAGCAACACATTTTGGCCTTGATATTAGCTCGTGCCATACACAGACTATTTTACATGACTTGCTGCACTGGTACAGCAGCCTGCTCCAATGGAAAGATCAACAACTTGTCAAAGAGATTTGCTTAGCAGGCACCTTTATGTCATTTCAGCTCTGAAGACCTTTTTATTTTTCTGGGCCTTTTACAGAGTCTAATGGCAAAGCTGTTATTTCTTCTATTTATATCCTGTTTTGAGTCACATATATCAAATGATGACTGAGAATAAAGGCCTCTCTAGGCCAACATCTTGTTTTCCACAGCAGTTAAACAGATGCTCACAGAAAGCCACATCCATACACACTAAGCCATGCCCGACTTCAGCGAAACCTTTAAAAATCTACATGCGTCAACTACCTTGGTAGACTTCATGCTCTTCTCTAAAGTTGCTTTCTTCTTTGCAGGTTTTTTATGTTCTGTTTCTTTTTTCTCCTCTCTTTTCTGAAAATTGGTCTCCATTTTATAAGCCAGGAGGAAGCAGAGAAGGGCAGTGTCAGTATCTAGAAAGGAAGTTCTGAAAGAATCCACCACGAGAGTCCTGCATGGAAAATGGTCTGCCCTGTGTGGGACAAGATTAGTCTAACAGCAGTTACTTGCTGGGGTACTCTGAGATAGTGTCTGGAGAAAGCAGGTTTATGCAGTGATAAAGGAAGACAAAGTCTAGATTGTATTTATCAGGAATCAGTAGCTAAAAATCCAGTAGCAACTCACAACTAGAGCAGGCCCACTGAATCAGGGAGAATTTTGTGAGTCATCAGTTATATACAGTATATCACAGGAGTACACCACTTCACATTTCATAAATATTTTAGTATATCTTTTCATGTGACAACACTGAAGAAATAACACTTGGCTACCATGTAAAGCAGTGAGTATACAGCTTGTATAACAGTGTAAATGTGCTGTCCCTTCAAAATAACACAACACACAGGCATTAAGGTCTAAACTGCTGGCAACTGAAGTGAGTACCCCCCTAAGTGATAATGTCCAAACTGTGCACAAAAGTGTCAATATTTTGTGTGGCCACCATTATTTTCCAGCACTGCCTTAACCCTCTTGGGCGCAAAGTCCACCAGAGCTTCACAGGTAGCCACTGGAGTCCTCTTCCACTCCTCCATGATGACATCACAGAGCTGGTGGATGTTAGAGATCTTGCGCACCTCCACCTTCCATTTCAGGATGCCCCACAGATGCTCAATAGGGTTTAGGTCTGTATACATGCTTGGCCAGTCCATCACCTTTTACCCTCAGCTTCTTTAGCAAGGCAGTGGTCGTTTTGGAGGTTTGTTTGGGGTCGTTATCATTTTTGAATACTGCCCTGTGGCCCAGTCTCTGAAGGGAGGGGATCATGCTCTGCTTCACTATGTCACAGTACATGTTGGCATTCATGGTTCCCTCAATGAACTGTAGCTCTCCAGTGCCGGCAGCACTCATGCAGCCCCAGACCATGACATTCCCACCACCATGCTTGACTGTAGGCACGACACACTTGTCTTTGTACTCCTCACCTGGTTGCTGCCACACACGCTTGACACCATCTGAACCAAATAAGTTTATCTTGGTCTCATCGTACCACAGGACATGGTTCCAGAAATCCATGTCCTTAGTCTGCTTGTCTGCAGCAAACCATATGAGGGCTTTCTTGTGCATCATCTTTAGAAGAGGCTTCCTTCTGGAACGACAGCACTGGAGACCAATTTGATGCAGTGTGTGGCGTATGGTCTGAGAACTGACAGGCTGGCCCCACCTTTTCAACCTGTGCAGCAATGCTGGCAGCACTCGTACATCTATTTCCCAAGACCAACCTTTGGATATGATGCTGAGCATGGGCGCTCAACTTCTTTGGTTGACCATGGCACAGCCTGTTCTGAGTGGAACCTGTCCTGTTAAACCACTGTATGGTCTTGGCCACCATGCTGCAGCTCAGTTTCAGGGTTTTAGCAAACTTCTGGTAGCCTAGTTCATTACCATGAGGTGCCCTGTGGAGCTTCCAGTGACCAGTCTGAGAGAGTGACAGCAATAACACCTGCTCCGCCTTCACACCTGAGACTTGTGACACTAATGAGTTTCATGACACCAGGGAGGGAAAATGGCTACTTGGGCCCATTTTGAACATTGTCACTTAGGGGTGTACTCACTTTTGCTGCCAGCAGTTTAGCCAATCAGAAACATTCTTTTCCAACATTCCATGCTCCTCACTCACCTCTTCCCAACACATATCCACCAATGCAGTTCAAACAATACATTTACCATCACAATACATTCAACCATCACAATAAGCATCCCCTCTTACTATTATGGGGCTCTCTGGAGGGTGATCCTGTGGCACTTTATAGACTTTCCTTATTTCTACAAAAAAAAACAGGACAGGTTAGACAGTCATTTGCTTTATAGATGGGGTACTTAGTTTTCTAATCTGATTATAAACTGTGATTTTACCTAACACTCAAGATAGTGCAGTCATAAACTATGAAAAAGATCAGATGGACTAGCTATGTTACATAACTTATTTTTCCATGCAGATTTAATAGTATTCTGGCCATAGCCTTATATTTGTTCCAGAACCTGTCACTGTGAATACTGGTTCCACTGTATTACATACTGTACTTCTTCACAGAGTATGCCATTAAACTATGGAATTCACTGCTAGTAGATGCAGTGGTGGACACCTAATTGGATACCTTTAAAACAAGAGACAAATATAAAGGGGCAAAGAGAATTAATGGCTGCTATGACAACACAAGTTGGTAGAGGGAGTAGTGTTTTGCATTCCTATTTTTTGGGTGGACATCCCAAAGGCATTTGGCTGGCCATTGTGGAAACTGGACTATATGTATGTGTGTGTGTATGCATATATTTATATACAGTGTTTCCCCGAAAATAAGACAGGGTCTTATATTAATTTTTGCTCCAAAAACACATTAGGACTTATTTTCAGGGCATGTTTTATTTTTTTTCATGTACAACAATCTACATTTATGCAAATACAGTCATGTCATCTTCTTCTGGTTGCTGCACAATAGTGGAGGGTGAGGCTTCACTTAACTGGGGCTTATTTTTTGGGTAGGTGTTATATTACAAGCATCCTGAAAAATTATACTAGGGTTATTTTTAGGGTAGGTCTAATTTCCGGGAAACAGGGTATTTAATTTATATTCTACTTTTCTCCCTTGGAGGACTCAATATAGCTCAAAAATGCATTTAAAAAGCAGACATAGTCTAAAAATGTAATAAATTGTTGTAGCAACAAATGATTACATAAGCTAATTACTTAAAGCAGCACGGAATTAACAACTTAAGAACTCTTTTAAAAGCCAAACAAAAACTGCCTGTTGTTAAAACCCCACCATTATGCTTCTAAAGAGTTCTGTATGTTCAAGTGAAGAGGTCTGTGGGTGTTCCCTTTTGATGAAAGAATCCTCATAGAGGATCATCTGATAGTCAACAGAAAGCTGGGAGAAGAATCGTTCATCCCCAGTAGACAAACCCAGAGACACCAAAACATAGTCCTTTCACATCCTATTCTGAGCTGTTTCAGACACACATCCAGAGCCTACAAAAAGCAAACCTTGGGGGGAACGGTGACCCTTTATGTTGCCAAAACAATGAGGGAAACTGTCCCAGGAGTTCTTCTGAGATTGACTGCAGCATTGTTGACAGAGGCAAAAACAGCAGTGACTTCTTCCATGGCTGTCACCCTTCCTCCTGTGAAAAGAAGCATGGTTGTCTTGAGCAGTGGCAACCTTTTGATTTAATTGCGAAATCAAGACCCTGGCTGTTCTAAACTTATTGTTACCTATACAACCAAAATTCTAAGAATTGGTAGCTAGCGGGGTGGGGTGGAAAGAAGGAATAAGATCCAGCAGGTCATGACTAGGAAGACTTCAAGTTTATGGAATCTAGCAGTTTGCTTTTTTACAAAAATTCTGAGGTCTGCTAACTAGGTTAGAATTAAGTAATTCAAGCCCAGGAATTTGGTTTGGATACATGACAGGACAAAAGCTCAGGGCTCTTCCACATGAAAATCCATTCCTTTCCTTCCAGCAGCATTAAACACGGGAATGGTGGTTGTGGTGGAGGGAAGTAATTTTATTCCCATTACTGTTAAATAATTAGGAGTGGGAAATCTGCCATGATCTTCGGCATACCACCTGGAAGTCCAACAATACACCCAAATATCTCTTCCTCAGCTTTTCTCTAGCAAACCTTTTTTAGTACTGTACCCCCGCCCAAAATAATGACCGTGCCGAAGATTCAATGGGGGGGAGCAAATAGGTAAACTGGGTTAATTTCAGTTTAAGCCTGTGGTTCAAATGTAGCCACACAAGTTTAGCCTGACACATATTTAAATCAGAACATGTCCAGTAACTAACATCTTGAATTCATTTGCCTACTATTGCACTTCTTCACTCGAATTCCTCATTTCTTATGACCTACTTCTCCATTCTTTCAACCAACAAAAACTAATTTTTCCTAATTGTCCCTGGCTCCTCAAATCTCTATACTCAGCACTAACATCACCAAACATGTTCCAGATACAAACCAATTCCTAACATATAACTAGCCAGATGATCTCCATGAACTCCTAGAATGATAATTGCTTCTCACCTGTGAGGGGAACTTTGATCTTGAGAGGACAGCTTGGGCAGGTGAGAATATCCTGAACCATGTTCTTGTCTGTGAGGAGATACTGAACTATGTTCTTGCCTGCGAGGGGATCTTGAATGGTATCTTTTTTGGCAAGAGGGTCTTGAATTCTCAGGACCAAACTTCTTAGAGACATAGTTTGTGCTAGAATGCTCTGAACCACTGCTGAAATGACTCTTTGGTGAAGAACAATGGCATTCTAGCAGTCTTCCATTCTCATTTTTCTGGTCACAGGAGAGGCGAGTATGAGAAAGGGGCCCAGAAGGAACCTGGCAACAGAACTGGATAATAAAATAAGACACATGAGCAACCCAGAGAAGTCTCCTCACTCCCTTAATCTGTGGAGTGCTCACTGAAAAACCAACTGAAAAATCACTGAAAAACTCCCAACACTAATGGAACAAAGTTAAATTCTTCTTGATCTGGGCTAGGAGCCCGGCTCAACGGCTCACTGCTGCCTGTGCTATGAACTCACTCCTGTTTCTCCCCTCTGCTTTGGTGCTCCATCAAGAGCATTTTCTCCATGTCTAAGATTTGCGTCTCACATACTTCACCTTCAGAGCCCAATCATTAATACTTCTTATGTCAGACCATGCAACATTGGATCAAAATCTCATCTGAGGAAATACTCAAATCTAACTTTATGCAGGTGGTGGATTTCAGTAAAAACAAAGTTGAAAGCTGCACTTTTTAAAAATAACCATCTTGATTTTGTGAACAGAAGAGTGGTAAAAGAGCCCATATCCTGAGCTGTTTTTAATACTGTATTACACATTATTTTAATGAAGCAGCTGCTTCTCTTCACAATGCTTTCTCTTTCCCTTTTCTTGGCTCCCTTTATTCAGTTCTGCACCTTTTCCATTCTCCTTCCCTTTTTCTTAGTCTCATTCCTTAATTTAAAAAATATTCAGGAAACCCAGAAGCAACTTACCAACTCTCTGTTGTGTTCAGAGATGTTCTCACACTTGCCAGCTTGGTTCACAGTCCAGGGAGGATCTTGACAGTCCTCAGGTGCCCATCCTCTCAAGTCGTCAGCAGTTTTCCAAGGCTGATTCCATAGAGATGAACAATATCAAACAGGGGGAGTAAGATGGCAACAAAAGCAAACACTAAATGTAACCAATATTCCTCTTTGTAATGAAATGGCAGTCCATCTAGAAGGTGCCCATCTATGCCTTGCCTTCTAGTGGTGGCACCCTTCCTATCCCACAGATAGCAACATTCTACAGTATACCTATTGTTGCCAGGCTTGATATCCTTCAGGAAGATATTTGCAGGACTGGCCAGAAAGGGGGAAACGACTAGAGCTGCTGTTAAGAGAAGCTGTCACAGAGGAAGGTGACTGCTGTAAAAAATCCTGAGCTGAAAGCAACAGGGCACAAATCCTCCTTACTTCAGACTAAGTAAAAAGTGTAATGCTATACTGTATTGACTTCTGTTGCCATCTAGCCTTTGTTAGAGTGGCAAACAATATGGAAAACAACAAAAAAAGTCCTTATTTATTTATTTTCCACAAGACTGTCTACAGTTGGCACTGTTTACATTATGATAGTGTTCATCATACTTCACACCAGCCAACAGATTTGATATATCAACAAATGGATGCACTCTACTAAACAAAACAAAGTAACAGACTCATTTAGACTAGCTATCCCCAATGGGGGCCACATCTGAATGGAACTACAGACTGAAATCTGTTTTTCACACACCACCTTTTAACATTCATTATGTGATTTACATAATCCTGATTCAGCCTATATTTCTTTTATATTGTGTTTATGGCTGTAGTGAAATAAATATTGAGAATGGCTAATCTAGACCAAAAATCCTTCTCCGTATAGATTGCTACCACTTGGTGCTGAATGAGTGTGGATCTTACTGGGGTTTCTGTCTATAATTGTGCGCAACTAGGCTTCCAAGGAAGAGAACTATAACATGCTTCCTCATTCTTACCAGCTTATTCCTTGCATCTCTCACCAGCACAGGCACACAATGGATGTTACTGAGGGTATGTTGGTGCTTGACGGAGTTAACAGTTGAGGCACAGCCACCTTGTCCGTGATCTGAATTCTCACAGTAGCCTGTGATTTTGGTCTGCATGAGTGCAAGTAAAATAAGGATCACAATATTCTGGGAAGCACAAATGATTAGTTAACAGCACCCAAATGGGAAGGCAGGATCAGCTGTTACCTTATTTCAAGAAGCTTTCATCTCTTTGACCAATTTATTTTCCCTCACAGCCCTCACATTTATTTTTATCTCTGTCTTCACCTACAGCCTAGATATTTTCTAATCCATGATAAATGGTATGATGTAGGGTGTGAGTATGACTGAAGCACATCCGGTATCAAGAGCCAACTCAGATGAACTGCTGTGCAAATAACATGAAAAATGGCAACCAAACAACTGCTAGATGTTCGTATCTGAATTGGAGGCACAATTGGCCTAGCAAACTTGGTTAGTAAACCTAGGTGTTGGAGTTTACTGCAGGATCAGTTTTATCAGGCAATATCTTATTTGGCTAAATAACATGCTGCCTTCATAAAGAGAAAGACTGCTTAGATTTTAGTAATATATGAATATGCAGAGGACAGTCAATAAAAGCAGATTAAACACTACTTCAAGCAAAATGTTATATCTTAGTATGCTTCTGTGGTTACTCATTACAGCCAAGATCATAGTGGCAACAGGAAGATTTTTATTTGCAAGTGTTTTTCGTAACTATGATTGATGGCCACACTGGGAACCAAGGGCATCATGCTAATTAGTGTGTTTTTAATTGTGTGAGCCACTTTGGGTTCCTTGCTGGGAGAAATGCAGCATATAAATAAAACTACAACTAATAATAAATAATTTCAAGCTTGAACCTTTGGTCCACTCTCAAGCACCAGCAATGTTGAAAAATAAGTCTAATTTTAAAAAGACTAATATTAATATAGATAGATATATTGCTTAGAAGACCTCTCCTATACAAATAAGCAGTCCCTGTAATTACCCTCTATCAGAGATCATCCTGTCTTCTCCTTTTGGCAATTAGGTGTTTAACATTTAACCTTCAGGGGACTGTAGATTATAGGTCTGATCACATCTAGGTGAAAAGCAGTGAAAATTTTCCAGTATCAACATTTCAGCCCAGTACTACTTTGGAGATGTGTAGAACTATTGCTGTAAGGCAGGTCTAAGCACCCACGCTTTCTTCAGATATTATAGATTGCAACTTCCATAGCCCATGGCCATGCTGGCTAGAACGATGAAACTGTAATCTGAAAGATCAGAAGGGCTCCAGATTGCTTATACTACTGCAAGGCATTCACAAAGCACAAAGGACTTCATAGAGTTTTCTTTTTTCAAACTATATAACTTCATAGACTACAAAGAGTAAGTACCCAGATATACTTTACAAATGCTATGCTAAACATTGTGCAAAAAAATTCTTGTATGGCTACAAAATATGATGGTGTCATTCAGTAAGGTAGTGTAGAAATGCTGAAAACAACCAACTTCCTATGAACTTTGGAATCCGTATGCAAGCTGTTTACTTCTAGCATAAGAAGCAGGCAGCTGCTGATTACCAGCTCAACTTCTTTTTCCTCAGACTGGTGGTGTTCATTTGCCATCTCACACTGGAATGGTACTTCTACAGTCAAAGGTGACTTAACATGGCAGGAATGTTCTGGAGAGTGGCTGACGTCCAGCTACAGAAATGAAAGAAAGATAACAGATGATGGGGCTGCACAGATTAGGTACTAAACTTGACTAGGAAGACATGTGAAAAATCTCTGAATAGTTCATGCAGAACAGTTTATAAACAACATTTTAATAACCACGACTGACAAATAACTGCACAAAAAGCATATAGACAAATCACAAGGAACGCTATTACAACAGCCATGCAAGTAAGTGCAAACAACAACAACAACAACAAAAAGGTTTACCAGCCCATAGAACCTTTTCACCCACAAGCAATGGACGACTTAGCTAGTCAAGAGTGTTTGCTAACAAAACAGGAAGCAAAAGTGGTTCATACCAATGGAGAATCTTTTTCTTCTACGGAAAGAAGCCTTTCTGTGGTTTCAGACAATGAGCGCTCTTCTGCAGGCACTGTAGCAGAAGGGAAAGGAGCTATCTGTTCAGGAGGCTCTTCAGCAACCGGAGTGGCCTTCTCTTCAACCTGCTGAGATTTTTTTCAGAGAGAGAGGAGGACGGGACTCGGCTTAATCAAATCCTCATAAAGAGGATTTGAGTTAAGAGTATCCTGCTATCCCCCAAAAACTTAATGGGTAAGTATCCCCTCTCTTCCCTTTCAAGGATATAGTATTTAAAATAGACACAATTAAGTCCCCACATGTTGCTGATTCAGACTGGTAGCTCCACGTGTCAAGGTTCTTGTTGTTTTTTTTGGTTTTGAGAATATAGGGAGCCTCTGTGTTGCACAAGACATCTTCATGAAAAAGAGAATTTGTTTGTGTGTGTGTGTATGTGAGTGTGTGTGTGTTTTATTCAGCTGTTACTTAGCTAATTCTGTCTCACATGCTTAAAGGGAAATACATAGCCCCTTCACTATCATCACTTTCCCCAGGCAGAGACAGATGTATCTGCCGAGAACAGATACCTGCAAATATAGGCTCCCTGTGTAAGCAAGAACTCTGATTTTCCAGGATTCTTCATCACATGAACGGGAATCTTGTCTATGCAGGCACATCACTTTCCATGTGGAGAAAGTGGCAATGAGAAAAGACTATGGCACTTCCCTTTAAGTGTGTTGGACTGAACTGGGTAAGTAGCAACTGAATTTGATTTGTGTTTGTATTTATATGTTGCCTTCATCAATGTCCAGTAACTAAGGCTAAAGGCTAGAATAGGAAATTCTCTGTAGTTAAAATCTGGAGATGTATCATTTTTCGATCATACGCTTCCAGAGTTTTGAGAGGTTCACAAGGTGTTGCTGTTTGGCCTACAACTTTAGAATTCTGGTGAGGGAATACTATATTTGCCTCCTATGAGCGAGCATGTCAGCTTATAATCAACTTACAGTCACAATTTTCATTTTTTATTAGAAGTGGACAAAGGTCTACAGGTAGCTGAACAGTAGGTGTGGTCACACTGTGAAAATGAATTGGGAGATGGACTGGGGGTTTTGAAGTCAGTTTGAAGTCACATAGTAGTCACATGGCTTTTGGGTCAAGGTGTGTGTTCCTGAGAAAACTTTTAAATCTGATTTTAAACTATGTTGAATATTGGTCAAGGGGACTACATGGGACTTTAGAACTGTTGCATTTGAGGCTTTGTCCTGCACCCGCCCGCCCTCACTCTGGCTGCTTCTCATAGCCACTAGTTTCTGCTGCTGTATTATTTCAAATATTTATTTTTATTTCTTGTAATCTGGTATAGTGGTAGTTCTGTATGACAGAATTGTATGACAAATTAAAACAGGCAGACTGTAAGCTTTCCCTGCAGCCCAACACATATATGTTACCCGTGGGAGAGGAGAGAGACCCCAACCAGACTATTGACAAGGAGACCGTACAGCAGATTTTAAGTTCATACACTATTCATGCAACATTTACTACTTTCATTCATTTAAAACATAAGACAAAGGTATCAACAGGCCTCTTTCACACTTCACATGCACACACACACACAAAACTCTTCCCTGATGATTGATCTGTCCCTCAGTAAAAGCGATGGGAGCAGCACTGTTCAAAGCCCAGTCTCTTCCCGGGTCATCCTTCTTGCAGGCTTCTTTCTCTTCAGCTGTGTCTATGGGCTGAACCTGGGTGCGTATAAACAAGCAGAGGGCAGACCCTGATTTCCTGGGCAGGTACAGTCTGTGGTTGCCATGCAGGAATGCTTCCTGCACATGTACAGTTTGCTGCTTTTACCACAGACCTGTTTCCAGCCAGCCTTCTTCCCCTTTCTTGTCTGGACAAAGAAGTTCAAATTCAGAACTTCCTTCCATGTTCCGATTTCTTGCTGATATAGAAACTTTATCTCTTGCAACTCTTTGCAGATTTGTATCAGGCTCACCATCCCCTCTGCCCTTGCAAGTCTCCATCTTCTTTTCTGGCCTGGGGTGCTGGTCTTTCTGGAACCCACATACTCTGTCACTCATAACATACACACAGAGACAGACAAGACAGAGGCAGTTGGAATTTTAAAAATTTATTCCAAATATGCTAAACCCAATTTAAAAAGTTTTTCCCCATGTGCAATGAAGCCCAGTGTTGTTCTTATGTGCCACCAAGTCATCTCCAACTTATGGTGACTCTAGGAATGAGCGATCTCCAAAAACAAACAAAAAAAACAAGTTATTCATGCCTGTACCGGCTGTCCCTTTTCCATAACAAGAACTCCTGTTGTCTCAGAAGATTAATCTTCTGTAAACACTTCAGCTGATGGCATAGAAGCAGTCTGCTAGGGAGGACCTTCAGCAGCCTCATTATCTTTTCGCTGAATGGACAAAAATTCTTTAATGAACTAATGATAATTAGAAGTGCCGTAATCCCAACAGAGGGTGAAACATGAGCCAGATGTATCCTTGTATCATAAGAAATCAGTTTAATGTTGTTACTAAGGTACTTTCTCAGAATGAAGTTGTTAGATATATCTGAAGCAGATCGCCTGATGTCATCAATATATAAAATTCTGACATCTGCAAATACTCTGAGAAGTCCTCTGCAAACTCAGGAGACAGCAATTCATTATCACCCAATCACTAATCTCATATTTCAAGGGAATGCGCTTGAGAAACTAGTGCTAGCACAATTCAAAATGCCTCTGACTGAATCAGATTATGTAGATACAATTCAGGGTCTACTTAGTTTGGCAAGAAAACAGATTTGATCACCCTGGAGGAAGAACTGTACTCAGAGAAAGATGATGGGAGTGCGATTGTGATTCATCTTGACCTTTTGGTGGCTTTTGACACCATCAATCATGTTATCTTCTGGACCCAGGTCTGTGAACTGGGTTTAGGACAGAAGTGGGTCCTTTTAAGGAGAAAGGTAAAAATATTTGAAACAAGCAAGCAAGCAGCTAATAGGCTACATGCAGTCCTCCCGGGCTTCCTTTCACCTCCTGACTCCTGGGAAAATGTTTCTGCAGAATAGCAAACTGCAGCTAAAGAGAAATTCAGTTTTCCTGTTCTTTTAGATCAGAAAGTTCATTTGTTTTAAGAAGCCACAAGTGATTGGCCATCTACATCTTATTGCTAAAAAGGTGTTTTCAGATCTAAACTGCTCCACAAAAACTGAGCTGAAATTATTTCATTTATTATTTATTTATTTATTTTATTTATATCCCGCCTATCTAGTCGGATCAGGACCACTCTAGGCGGCTAATAACATAATACAATAAATATACATATAAGACAATTTTACATAACAGAAATATTAAACAGAATGGGGAAACTATAGGAGAGGGAGAAAAGGGCATCAGGAATTATCTGATGGGAAGGGCTGCCGGAACATCCATGTTTTTAATTGATTCTTGAAAAATCCCCAGCGAGGGAGCCGCGCGAATCTCAGGAGGTAGGTTGTTCCAGAGGCGAGGAGCCACCGCCGAGAAGGCCCGATTTCTTGTCTTTTCCTTCCGGGCCTCCCTCGGCGTTAGGCTCCTCAGCCTCACCTGGCTCGCACGGGTGACACGGGTAGATCTTGGTGGGAGTAGGCATTCCGCCAAGTATCGAGGCCCTAAACCTTTTAGGGCTTTGTACGTGAGCATCAACACTTTGAAGTCGATGCGGAATCGGATGGGCAGCCAATGCAGTGCAGCCAGAGTGGGTGAGATACGTTGATATTTTCTCACTTCACTGAGTAATCTGGCCGCTGCATTCTGCTCCACCTGTAGTTTACGCAGCAGCCTCAAAGGTAGCCCCACGTAGAGCGCATTACAGTGGTCTAATCTTGAGATTACGAGCGCATGCACCAAGGCAGTGAGCGCCCCAACATCAAGGTAGGACCGCAGCTGGGCTATCCGCCTAAGGTGAAAAAAGGCGGTACGGACCACCGACGCAACCTGAGATTCCATAGGGAGCCCCGGGTCCAGGTGGATCCCCAAGCTGCGGACCCCATCCATGGTGAGCAGAGTCACCCCCCAAAAGAGAGGGAGGTTCCCAAATCCCCAACTGTAGGGGCGCCCACCCTCAGTACCTCCGTCTTGTCCGGGTTCAGCCTCAGCCCGTTCTCCTGCATCCATTTCAGTATGGCCTCCAGGCAGTGCTGGAGGGACAGAATTACACTGAATGGCAATTTTTGAGAGTACAATTTGCCATGTAGAGGGGAACTTTTCCTCAGGGTTGAAGGGCATGCTGGAGATGGGCAAGGTGAAACCCATGAAGGTCTGGAGCACAACAAAAAAAAATCTTCTGGACCCTCAGAAGTTGCTCTGGTATAAAAAGTAAAGAAACCAATTGTGCTTGCTGGTGTGGTGACTTATCAACCCCCTTTGTGTTATGTGTTGTCTCAATCTGCCAAGCTCTTTAACACCTATAAGAAGCTGGGCAATGTCTTCAGAGGTTTTGAATAGCTTGTCATTAGTATACTAATCAACTCATTTGAGTCTGCTAATATTTGCTGAATTTGATGTAAGTCTAGTTGAGTCAATAACTAAAGCAGGATCTTAACTTGACAAAATCACAATGGATGGGAAATTGTGTCTGCATTGCTCTACCCAGGATTGCATTAACACTGAAAGAGTAGCTCGATCCAGCATTATCCCTTGAGACCCAGATTGCTTTTACCAGCTTTGGCTATTTTGTCAGAGAGAGGTTACCTTAGTTTGACTCAGGTCAATTTCAGTTTCATTTCTGCAGGATGTAAGGCTCTCCAGAGTTCCCCAGGATGATGGAGACACTGCTAGTGCAGAACACAATGGTTTGTCAACACCTGTGGCTTGAGAATCAGGTTTTAACTCATCCTACAGAGATTAATGAGGGGAAAATGTTAGGTATTACAACTGCCTTTAAGGAAAGCAACCAACATTTTTTTAAAGATGTGCACTTGCAATCAGTGATTTCTACATCTCTCACAGAAGAATCATAGCCTGTCTGTAGGGTGTGTTCTGTGATCTTAATGCTTTGGGCATTAGAGTTTTTTTGATTTCTTTTATTTATTTTTATTAATGAACAAAAAATAAATAATAAATGATTTAATAATGAATTTAAAACTTGCTAAAATGACATCAGTACAATACCAGATTCTATCCACCACTTTGGTAAAAATGACCAGATTAATACTCCATCAGTTCCATTTGATATGGCAGGAAAACAGATTTAAAAGTTTTAAAGCACTGCAGGAGTTGCACCAGATTGCCCAGCAGACATCCCACAACATTCTAAGCTTTTATATCTTTCCTGTTTGTCTCCTTCATTAAAAAAAAATTCTTCTCATAGCTCAAGGTATTAGGCACCACAAGTTCTTGTGAGTTCCCAAGCCAGAGAAGGCAGCACTGCCAAAATCTCAAACTGCAACCTTCCTGTCCCTATCAAAAAACAACCCATTACCAGATAGTTTAGTCTTCTTCCCTAATTACCTTGGGTGAGTAAGTTCTGTTCCACAAAGAAACCTCCTTGCCTTGTTCAGCTTCCTTGGGTTCTGCTGACAATGTTTCCACTTTTTGAGAACCATCTTGCCTTTTATTTGACTGCAGTAGAGAAACAAGAACAAGCTATTAAAATAATCAAAGGAAAATTTAAATTGAGATTAGGGATACTGAAAGTACAAGGGGGGAGTACCTTCTCTTATCAGGACAAAACAAAGATTGAAACAATACACTGAAAAATTAAACAGAAAACCACCACATCTGCTAAAAGCAAGGAAGACACTTTCTTGAGTACTCTCAACTCCTTGCTTCCAAGTAACCAAGTAATTGAAATGTTGTTGTTTTACTTTTGTTAAGAGGAAAAAAATTACAAGAGGAGAAAGGGAAAAGTAGAGTTTCAAATAGTCTCCAATATGATTCAAATTTTAAAACAGATGACAAGAGTGAAAGTACTACAAAAGCAAAAAAACAAAGCAAAACTGGAGGCTTAGGCATTTTGAGAAAAAAATCCCAGAATAAAATAACAAAATACTAACTATTCTCTCTCCATACTCACAGTTCAGCATAGTTCCAGGGCATGTGCAGATTATATTGTGAATTCCAGGTGAGTTCAGTGACTCCTGAGAATAACTAGAGCTAACTACTACTTGCTTCTTCCCATTTTATACCCCTTATTCACTTTCCAGATTCTTCCTCACATTTCCACCAATAACTTTCCAAGTCCTTATGAACCTTCTAGAAGGAATTAATTTATGTTAAAGTAATTTTGTCCAGATTTTTGCATCCATATATGGTAATCAGGAATACCATGGTATGGAGAAATCTTGGTCTTAAGTGTTCAGTGACACATTCTTACACTTCAAGATCCCTTTTAGTTCCTTCATTACTGTCCTTTGTCAGCCATTGTCTGGTTCTTTGGCTGCAATCTCCATTTGAACTGATGACTGAACCAAGGTGCAGAAAAAGTTTAATTTTCAGTTTCTTTATTGTCAACATTAAAGTTATACAGCTCTTCAGCAGACTTTCCTAAAGTCCTATTTTTACACTTTTTAAAACCTTCACTGGTAGTTGTTTCAAGTCACTGCTCTTTGCTCTTGTCCACCAATGGTTACTCCTCCTTCCTCTGAATTGAATCGAGTTTCTCTATCAAAAATGGAAAATGGAAGGGATGGTTGATCAGGCAGTCGATGAAATTAGACATGTTGGCTAGTGTGAAGGTAGGAAAGAGACTGACAGGAGGGGGAGGAGACAACCATTTGCCCATTGAGGGTCATCTGGGCAGGAAGATGGAGCCATTTGAGTGTTATACTGCTGTGGAGGAATGTCAAACATTGTAAAACATCCTCTCTTCTCAGGGCATTGCCATCAGATAAGGTCACCTGCTTTCAGTAAGGGGGAAAGATGGAGAATGAGCAAAGGTAATTCCTTACCTTATCATATGAGGATGAATGTGGCAACTTCTGGGAGCTTCCTGAAAATAGAAAACCAGAGTTAAAATGACATGAAAACACTCTGCCACACCCCATGAGAGTCTGGCTGCTTGGGATTACAGTGATGCCTCAACTTACGAACTTAATCGGTATTGGAACTGTGTTCGCAAGTCGAAAAATTTGTAGGTCGAGGCACCATGCCCCATAAGAATGCACTGAAAACAGATTAACGCATTCTGGGGGAATAAAAAATACAGTACCAATAAATAAATAAAAATTAAAAATAAAACATTGCAAGTCCCACGCTGGGACTGCAAAAAAACAAAAAAACAAACCAAAAACAAAAACAAACAAATTGAAAAATAAACATTGGAGCAAGTCCCACACTGGTACTGAAAAAAAAAAATCACCAAGAAACAAAACAACACAGAAACATACCCCCCCAGCCCAAACCTACACTCCAAAATCCACCCAGATCAACTTTTTTAAAAGAGAAAAAAAGCAGCACTTACCGGTCTGAAGCCTCCTGGGGGTCCCCCGTTGCTGCGATTGCCGTTGCCACCATGAGTGTTGAGCCTGGCCGGGGTGCTTAGGCCACTTGCCCCCAGCCCTGACAGAGGCAGCGGCTGCCCAGTGCCGGGAGACTTGAGCTGGCCGGGTTTCAGCCGCTTGCCTCCCACTTGCTCCACGCCACCCTCCGTGGGGCCATGGTGGCAAATTCAAACGGTGGAGGGCGGCGAGGAGCGAGCAGGAGGCGAGCCGGGAGGGAAACGGCCAAAAAAACCCGGCCAGCTCAAGCCTCCTGGTGCTGGGTGACCGCTACCTCCAATCGCGGTGGCGGGGGACCCCCGCGAGGCCTCCCAGGGCTTCCCCGTTGCCATTGGAGACCTCCTGGGGGTCCCCCGCCACTACAATTGGAGCCTTCAGAAGTCTCCGGAGGCCTCCTGGGGGTACAATCGCGGTGGCGGGGAAGCAATTTTAAATTTGCCGCCCTTTTCCACTGCCACAACTGGACCCCCAGGCAGTCTCCCAGGGTTTCCCTGCCGCCATCGGAGACCTCCTGGGGGTCCCCCGCCACCATGATCTGCGCCTTCAGGCTTTCCGGGGGGGGGTAGATCGGGCCTACCAGGGGAAGCAGATCACTGCTCTAAAATATTAGAAAAAATAACAAAAGACTTTTATTTATTTATTTATTTATTTATTGGATTTATATACCGCCCCATAGCGCTACAAGCACTCTCCGGGCGGTTTTACAATTTTAATTATAAAGGCTACACATTGCCCCCCCAGCAAGCTGGGTACTCATTTTACCGACCTCGGAAGGATGGAAGGCTGAGTCAACCTTGAGCCGGCTACAAAAAACCCAATGACATAGAAAAATGGAAAACAAAAAAAATGGAAAATGCAGATCCTTTCTCTTTCTCATATATCATTTTTCTGCTTGTGGAGAGAAAAAGAGCAGCTCCACTGAAGGTCAAAGACTCAGTTAACACTTTTCATTAGAATGGTCGAGAGGAAAAATGCAGCCTTAGGAGACACCTTTCCAAAGACAAGTTCCAAAGTTCTTCACAAAGAGGTTTAAGACAGTCTGCCTAAACATTGAAAATATTTTGGCGACTTCCCCCTACCCCCGACTTACTATCATGTATGGTGGTCATGCGAAAAAGAAAAACCGGGGGGGGGGGGGGGTTACAGATTTGGGAAATGTCACAAGAAATTCTTCAACAAAAATTAAGTTTTAAGTCTGAAATGCTATTATTGAATATAATGCCAGAAATCATTAATAAGAAAATAAAATATAGTTTACTGCATGTATTTACTGCAGCTAGGTTACTCTGGGTCCAAAAATGGAAGAGTGGAGAAACACCAACGATGGATGAACTATTAAAGAAGCTACTGGATATTGCAGAACTAGATATGCTTTCAGAGGCACTACGGGATCAACCGGGACATTTTATAAAGGAAAGTTGGAAGCCGATATATAATTGGGCCCAGGAAAAGACAAGAACTTAGGGGAAGAAACAGTTTATGGCGAATCGGTGCTCACTAGAATCCTTTAATGATATTTCGATGTCCAGACAATATGAAATTTCTGATCTATTTGTGTAGTATGGATGTTTAGTTTTGATATTTTGTTGCTATTAGTGTTTATTTCTGTTTGGTTTCAGTTTTGTTTTGTATATTTACATGTATGAAATAAAAATATTGGGGGGGGGGAATATTTCAAAGACCACATCTCAAGCATCTGTGACTTTTGTAATGTTTGCCAGCATGAATTTCCATGTTTGGGGGTAGGGGTGGGGGAAATAGGAACAATGTTTGTTACATACAGAAAACAACATTCAAAGGTAAGCATCCTCATTTCCAATAGAGCAGCTCTAATGGCTTACATTTTCCAGCAACCCTTTTCTTTGACCTACATGACTGGTACTTTCCCAGACAAGAGATATGACCCTTAAAATTAAAACTTTTAATTTCACCCCCCCCCAAAAAAAATAGGGCCATCCTCCTCATATCACCCAATCCAACCTTTTGAGAAGTTGTTTTGAAATCCTCTAAAAGAACGACCACGATAGCGATGTTTATCATGGAAATATCCTCGGGGGCATTTGGAAACATGTCCTCGATTGGAATTTCTGTAGTTGTCAAAGATGCCATTGTGTACTCTGCAGAGACATAAATGTCCATAACCTCCTTTATTAGAACCTGCCTTCAACTTCTTAATAAAAGTCAACCATAAACATATCTTCAAACTAGTGGTGGTCACATCTGAGAAGTAAGCCACTGATGAAAAATGCCATAATACCCTGCATGTGGCGATGGTGATGATGGCCATGAGTGTTAGAAAGATCTGAGTAGCCATAAAGAGTTCAAAACAGCTGAATGTAATAACAGCTTCAGTTCAGAACAGCCGGATTTAACAAGACAACAAGCAGTTGTCTTGCAGGGTGATGCACAGATAAGAAGATATTGGAGCTGAACAGAGATGTGAAAATATATTATCAGGTCAACAGATGAAAATCATTCTCTGTGATAGTATTGCCACCACAATACACTCATTCACTAAACCTTAAAGCTAGGTGGTTGAAGACCAAATCCTTTAACTCCTGAACAGTGCCTATTCTTGCTCTGGAATGCTTTCCCTTGGCCTGTGTATGTGGTCTTTATTCTTATGAATTCCAGGCACCAGGTGAAAGCAGTTTTATTCTCCTAAGCCTTTTGAAAAACAGGATGTAATGAAGTTTTGACTGTCTGAGAGTATTTTGCTTTGGATATGGGTCCTATTCTGTTACTTTTAAGACAGCTTAATATTTTATGACTCATACAGGCTTTGCTCTATACCGTAAATGTAAAAAATTAGAATAAAACACGACTTTGAAAATAAATTATATTCAAGATTAGGCCAGTCCATGTAATATACAGCCACATCACACAGAAGTCATGTACCTGTTGTTTGGGATGGTCCTGGATCCTGCACAGACTTGGCCAAACTGGGAAAGGGTTGTGCTGTGGTGTATTCCAAACATTCCTCTGGAAGCATTCACTTGGTATAGCTGGTTAACATAAAACATCGCACAGACATTTAGTATATTGCAATATGTAACTGCACTGATTGATCCAGCTATCCCAACAGAAAAAGAACTACCACCATCAGCCAAGTTGCGTCCTTAAGAATCAAGTCTCCTCTCTTATGGGGTAGTGAGTGCATTTATAAGTAGGGAATTTTTTGCTCAACTTCCCAATCTACCACCAAGTCCGCCCTTGGGCAAATCATCACATCTAAGCCTAAAGCGCATGTTTGACTGACAATGCTGATCAAATGGAATAACTCCACTTACATTATACTGAGTTTCCTAATGAGATGTTGGAATGCAAAAATTAAACTTTTAAGATTTGTCTTACAGTATATTTTGTATTATACATTTATGCAGAAAATATATTCAAAATATCTTGCAAGGAATAAACAAAATGCATGAATTAGCACATCCTGCAAGAGAGCAGGTGCCGGAGGAGTATTTCCACAGCAAAACTAACTGCCTGAAGTTTCCAAATTGTAAATGATCCAAGAGAGAGTTAGAGATTCAGAAAACACTTTACAGTGGACCCTCGACCTACGGAATTAATCCATATTGGAACGGTGTCCGTAGGTCGAAAATGCATTTCCCATGGGAATGCACTAAAAACATTGTAATCCGTAACCCGCCCAAGAAACACCCCCCCAGCACACACAAAATTAAAATAAATTTTTGAAAATTAAACCTTATCTTTTCGAAGCCTTCCAGGAGTCCCACTGCCGGAGGACTCCGAGGGTTTCGGCGCTGCTGCCAGAAGGCTCTCAGAGGTCCCCTGCCCCCGCAGGCTTTCCCAGGGTGGACCGCGCCTACCAGGGGAGGGCTTCCCCCAGTAGGCCCGGTCTACTCCCCAGGCTTTCCCGGGCAGTAGACTGGGCCTACCGGGGGAAGCCCTCACCCAGTAGGTCCAGTCCACCCTGGGAATGCCTGCGTCGGTGGGGGGGGAACCTCCAGCTTCAGAGGTTCGATCGGCAGCTGGGGGGAACCTCCGAGATGCCTCCCATGTAGTGGAGAAGCCCTGGAGGCATCGGGAAGCACAGCGTCCTACAGACTGGAAGGGGGAGGTGGGGAAAGCACCAAATTTGAATTTGGCACTTTCTCCGCCTCCCTATTCTGGTCCGTAGGTCAATTCTCTGGCCGCAAGTCAAAGTGAAACTTTGCGGCCGGAGAAGTACGTACGTCAAAAACTACGTAAGTGGACCGTACTTAAGTCGAGACTCCACTGTATTATACAACTGCAGGAGAGGTACACATTCTGCATACACCTAAAAGCTAAGATACCCTGTGTGTTGCAATGGATAGAATGACAGACTAGGACCAGAAGGCCTGGTGGGAATCTCCATTCACCCATCGAAACTCACTGGGGTGTGGAACTGGTAAAACCACTTCTTAAACACTGAGCCTCGTGGCACAGTGGTTAAACCGCTGTACTGCAGCCAAAACTGGACTCACGACCTGGGGTTCAATCCCAGGTAGCCAGTTCAAGGTTGACTCAGCCTTCTATCCTTCCGAGGTTGGTAAAATGAGTACTCAGCTCGCTTGGGGGGGGGGCAATGTGTAGCCTGTATAATTAACTTGTAAACTGCCCAGAGAGTGCTTGAAACACTATGGGGCGGTATATAAGCAGCACACTTTGCTTTGCTTTAAACTTTTAAAGACTTGTTACGGTCAGTCTAAGTCACTTCTGGCTTAACTGTACATAAGAACAAGTGCCACAGCACTTATATGGATACTTCAGACATGTAAGCATTGGCATCATAATTTTCCAGTGGGCACATCTGAACATGTGCAAGTATCAAAACATGCTCATCAATATTGCATAGTTCTCCACATTTAGAATAACAGGAACAGAGCTTGGGAAAAATCAGGATAAGGCCACATGGCCATGGAAACAATACAAATGCATGAGTAGGTGATAACTGACCATTGAGGATATAAACCAACCCCCCCAAAAAAAAACAAAAAATACAAATTGCAAGCTTTTGATGATCAATCTTCTTCTTCAAGGCTGTGCATCAAGGTCTTGTGGGTGGTTCCAAACATATGTGCTGTTTTTAAAGTCTTGAATTCACATGGCTGATGAGGTAGAGGCCAGGTTAGCTTCTTGGATGGAAGCAGCTGCAGCATGCATGTTGGGTTCAAGCTCTACTTCAGCTAGCAATTTAGAATTTATGGCCCATCTCTTAAAACAGAGGACAATCACAGGCAATTTGGGGCCCTTCTTGTTCTCCCTTCTGCCTTTTTAAAACTTGTTACAGGCTGAAACCACAGACATCTTGTGTCCTTCTGCAGTCTGATCTTGTAAGTTCCCTTAAGTTACTATTTCTTTAGTAATGCAAGTAGGGCAGTTGCAATGTTTTCCATGTCCCAGTTATCTCTTCCTCTTTTCCTATGGCTACATGATGCTACAGATGGAGTATTATTTTTCAAAAAGAAGAACAATCTCCTCATCAGCTGGCTGTGCCTCCTTGCATCTCCTAAGCTACGTGCCTCACTTATTTCCCAATAAGATCACTCCCATCCCTAGTCTGAATCTGTTTTAGGTACCATAGCTTCTTAAAAACTGGGAGGGGGTGTGTTATAAAGGATGCCAGGTCACCACTGAGAGGATCCACTGACTGCATGGCCAGACTATTCCTTGTTGCACTTGATTTAAGAGTACAGTACTTGCCAGGTGGGTTCAGTGGGCTAGTGACTGGGAAACCTTCCCATGAGCCTCTTTGATGCCCCAGGGAGAACAAAACTTTCAGGTTGCTGACTCTGGCTGTAATCCAACCTTGCAAGGTAGAAAATACAAACCCCACAAAGTAATCAAGACTCCCAAGTGCAAACAACTTTCTTTAGTACCATCAACTCCTTAGACTGTATGAGTGAAAACACAGAAAAAATTATAAATTTTTATTGAAGAAATCTCATTTTCCAATTCCTTTCTCTAGTTTATTGAAGAAATTTCAAAAGAACATGTAAAAGCAAATTCAGAAACTCTAGCAAGATGATAATTATGTGAAGCTGTTCCATGATAGTAAAACAAAACTAGTTCAGAGACTTAGGCAATTAAGAATTAGTCCCACAGAAAAGATAAATGGTAATTTACCTAAAACTATACTTACACCGTAGCATACTTCCAGTGCACACAAGAGTTCAGCACAATAGCAGGCTTGGATTACTTGTTGAAGTAACTATTGTTCTGACTAGCCTTATATCCCATTATCCCCTCCTTAGATAATTTAATATTTTCAGCCAATCACATGATGTCCTTCCTAAGCTAATTGGGAACTTCTGCAAGGATAGCACATCAGCTTTGGCTAATTTGAACTCCATGGGAATTCAGGCAGTTTCAGCCTCTCACAGATACTCCCCAGACTTCAAGGTCAAAGATAAAGCTTTCTGGCAAGGGATGTGGCAGGCTTGCTATAACTGGAAGGTACATGCTTTCTCCCATCTAACTTACTTCAGTATTATTACAGACTTCAGGGAATTATTAACCTCTTCCTTGCTCATTTCTTCACAAGTGCCTGGCAAACCTTTACTGGTACTGTAATTTATTCCACAATCAAAAACACTTGGTTTCTGGTGGTAACTTTTCTTGATTTCCTTACAGTATGTGTTGCTGTTTTTAACAATAATGAGTGTGAGGAATAGGCTGAATGGGTAGCTATTTTATAGGGAGATATTCCAGCAGGTATTGGGGTCCTAAACTATTTAGGGCTTTATAGGTAACAGCACCTTGAATTACAATAATATTGTAATTTATTATACTCTTAGTTGTTTTAATACACTACTTGTTTTTTAAATTGTTTGTAAGCCACCTGGCGTTCCTCTCTTGGGAGAAAAGCATGTTTTAACACA